ACTATACACACAGCAAGTGGGTTAGGTTCCAAAACTGCAGTTCAGTCTAGTCATATCCATCTTTCCGAAACTCCCCTCCCCTCCCCCTCCTGTAATCTGTTTTAGCATATGGCACCACCCACTCGTCCACCAAAACCTAGGCTATGAGAGATAATTTTGGTGTGTAAATATATCCCTCTTAACCAACTGCCTCCATCCCTTCTCTTGTAGCCAAGATGTTCTTCCATCCTTCCAAAAGTGTGTCTGATATATACATTACATACAAAGTCACCATACCAGATTTGAGGTTACCACTTCACTTTATTATTTTAAACACATTAAATACACATTAAACATAGCATATTTAAAATATACAAAAGTGCTGTGTGTAGTAAACAGCTATAACCCTCCCTTCTAAGAACTAGAGCAGTTATTCATAATTCACCTGTATGCTTTCCTCTGGTCCTTTTTATTCCCCCTTCCACAGGCTATCTATCATTAAGCTTAATTTTGGGTTTCCTAATCACATGTTTAGCTACCATATATATATTCTTTGGTCTCATACACTTTTGAACTCAATATAATAGGTGTCATGCCTTAAGTAGTCACAAGAAACTTGTTTTGCCCTATGTTGCCAAGTGTGGCTGTCATTGACTCATTTTTAACCACACCATGTACCTAAGAGTACCTTATGAAACCATTCATCCATAGACAGGACTTCAGTTATCCCAGGAACTAACATGATAATACTTCCATGACCAAAATGTAAGACACAGATGAACATTACCGGAAGCTCAGCCCATATTCACTCTGTAGATGTTCATATCTGTGAGGTGTAACTGTTCTCCAGCAGTGACGGGAAACGTGTGTGACTACCTATAGACTAATACCTCAAACTGTGGGTCCCACTCTTGGAAATGTCACAGACAGAAAGCAGAATCTCATACTTCTGATCACTACAAAACGCCTATTTATTTACCAGCCTCATGATAATGTTTTTCTATTTTTTCCAAGTAGAAAAATTTCTATATATTCTAGTTACTAATCTTCCTTAAAAAGTCTTCTAAAAGCAAATGAATGCCTCTTCATTTGTCATAGTATCACTGGGAACTGTGGTGTGTCATAGCATTATACCTTTTGTCTAACCAGCCCCACCCACAAATGTTCACTGCAATGAGTCATTGGTCTGGTTCAAGGCCTCTGGTACATCATCATCACTGGACCCTCACTGAAAATACTCTCGGATATCCTGTTGTCCGTCTTGAGTCATGGAGATCCTGTGCTATCATTCCATAAGACCAGTCCCTTAACATGCTCCAGTAGGTCACAGATGGGATAGATGTTAGGGTGGACTAACCGAAAGCCCAGAATGTGGTCTGGGTGGTAGCTGGACTGGTCAGTCTGGGCCTCTAGAACTGACCCCCTTGGTCAAGGTGAGGTGTGGAGCCAGCTCTCCTATGGGGAGTAGGTACAGCTCTCCTGGGGCAAGGAACAGGGTCAGCTATCCCAGGGCCAGTGAAAGGCAGGCTGGCTCTGTTTGCTTTGTTTTAAATTTTTTTTTGGGGGGGAGAGGTTCCTTTTAGGGGAAGGATACTGCAGTGGTGAGGGGCAGATATGGAGTGATGGGGAGATGAGTGGGATTGGGGTACATGATGTTACGTTCCCATGAATCTATAAAGAATGATGTTGTAAAAAGTCTTCTCACTTTTACATAAACACTTGTTTGCTTGTCTAAAAGTCCTTAGTTTGGGGCAGTAATGACTGGAACTACTTCTGTACTAAAGCTTCATGTTTTGTCAGTCAAGTTCCCTAAAAAAAATCATTTCCAGAAGCATCTCACCACTTGTGATCCTTTGCTATTCCACACTAGTCATCTGCTGGTCTTCAGCATGATCTCAGTGAGAATTGCTGGAAATCTTGACTTCAAAGCTCATCATGGAAAGACCTGGCATCTTTGTAACCTTTAATGTTTCTATTCACAGTTCCACATCTGTTCCTTCCCTGCTGATCCATCTTTATCCTTCAGTCCTAAATGGGAGTCAACTGAGTACTCCTACCACCAGCCCTACACACTTTTAGAGCAAACTGTCCTAGAGAGAGACAGTATGGAGTGAGCTTGCAATCTGCTGACTAGACAGCATCCATCAGTCTTCATTACTGAACATGAGATACAAGGTTTGGGATATTCCACTGCTACCTCAGGGGTAAAGGTGGCAACCTGCCTCTTAAGGAGCAAGAATTAAGGATGGAGTAGCCTGCAGTACTGAATCATCCTCTAAAGCAATAGGCTGGGAAAGCAACTAATGACAGAATGTAAGAATTTAAGCAGATAGAAGGAAAAACTGATTGAGAAATGACCATAAATATTGAAGGCTGACAAAAGAATCATGTGAAGGGAGGGGATATGGGTAACAATATGGAGCAGTCAGCTCTGTCTTAACCACAGGGAAAATAACCCCTAGGAGGGCCTCTAGATCTAATAATTAAGAAGCCATCAGTGGTAAGAGATGAGAACACACCTCCCTTAACTTCACTGCATTAAGTGCAAGTAGGAGAAAGTAACTGGTACATGAGAGAAGCCCAAATATGTGAAAAAAATATGCATGAGAGAATCAACTGGGGGGGGGGGGAAGATCATTTCCATGTGTGTTCATTATGAATGGAGGTGAATGGCTAGCAAAATAGCTCAAAGGAGGAGTAGCAATAAAACTATCCCTATTCCCAGCCACGGTTGCCTCTAGAGCAGGCAGCAGACCAAGCAGCAACAGGGAATTCCTCCCCACACCAAAGTATGTGTTTGTTGTGTAGTGTGCTGCAACCTTCATGTGGAGGCCAGGAGATGGTCTCTTCTACCATGTGAGTTCATGGGTCAACTCAGGTCAGGTTTGTCAGCCTGTACATGGACTCACTGAACCATCTTGCTCGTCCTGTTATTATTTTTAAAGACAATCTGTTTAACTCAGGATGGTCGGTTCCTTATGCCAATTCTCCTGCCTCAACTTCCCAAATGATGTGATGACAGGCATAGGGCAGGCACATTTGGCTACAGACAATTCTTAACTATGAAAAAATAAATATGCAGCCCTAACGAATATGCAAGCCCCAAGTGTGAAATCAGTTTATGTCAGAGCCCTCAGGTGCCAATGGTGAGGGTGCATGCTGGGTACCTTCAATCATGCACACAAGAGCCCAGTTTAGAAAGTTAGCCTTGAGTCCAACTTCTCTGGAATACACAAAATAAACTAAGAAGGATGTTCCCAAGTTATCATTTATATTCCTCAGTGAATATCTATACACCTAAGCTTGTAAAAAGAGAGGAGGACATCTGTCATGGAATTAGATCAAAGACATGTTCAGGGAAGCCAGCTGAAAGAATGGCAATGAAATACAGACCATTAGTAGTTCTGCAGATGAATACATTAAAATATCTGGAGGTTATTCTTTCTCACAGATGAATGTTCCAAAACCTAAAAATTATACCTGCTATGGAGATCCATCCTGAAACTAAGTGGTTCAGACTAGTGAGCCCTATTTACATTCTAGTACGAGTTAAATATACCTTAAAAGAGGAGACAGTTCTTTTCACTCTGAGGGAAAGGTATGCATAAAGTATATACTACTTGAAAATGAACTTGGAAAGATTACAGATTCGCAGGCTCATTATTATCCAACTGTCATTTTCTTTCCACCTCCAATATACCAGAGTATGTGTTTGGTTAAGTGCCTTGGGGCAGCATATGAGGAGTCTGTCCCACAGAAGATGAGTCCTGGTGGCATGTATAACACATGGAGGCTGCTTCTCTTTCTCAGTCAGTATAAACTTTAAATTGGGGTTCTAATCCCAGAAGATTCCCTTAAGTCACATTCCCATACACATTTCCCTACTGTACCTTCCTCCATTAACATCTTATTATTTCCATATCTAAAGTACAAAGACTACAGAGATCTACAGGAACCCTCCATATTTGTGTGTACCTGAATTGTGTCCATGCACAATCTTGTTTAAACCTCACCCACTGAGACAGAAATTAATATCATTGTTCTCGTTTTATAGATGACCAAACAAAGTGTTGGGAAGACCAAGCACTTGGCTTATGTCATATAAAAGTTACACAACAAAGTTGAAGTTGGAGTCTGTGCTTTCAGAGCCTAATGCTCTGAACAATTTATCCAGAAATAACAAACAACAAGCCACCATAGTATATCCAAAATATTTGAGTTCGGAGCCAGGTGCACACAAAGAATTGAGTGGCTTTAAGCCACCCACAGGTCCAGCTCTGCACAGATGTCAGGCTCAACTGAAAACCTGCTTGATTCTGAGAACAGCTAGAAGATGTTAAATAATATCCTTGGAAGTCACTTTCTTTCTCTTCCCCTTTTCCCCTAATGCAAGAGAACATGAAACTACAAGGGGAAAAAAAGAGGTTAGAAAATGTGACTATGCCTAGCCACACCAGCACACCAGGGCAAATAGTTCCAGTATGTGAGTCCAGCAAACAGTGAACATGCCTCTGCCAAAGAATTCTACAGTCATTAGCTGAGCCTCAGAAAATGAGGTCTTACAGAAGAAAAGAGAGGAATACCCTCCTCCCGTTGAAACCACTTCCACTGAAATGTCACATTTCTCACGGTGGCACTTTGCTTCAGGGTCACATTTCTCTATACATTCCCCTATTCAACTTATTTACAAGACCTTTTTTTTTTTAATGTGAGAAAACAATAAAACCAACCAAACAACAACAGAAATCAGGAACAAGAACCCTCCTCGGTCAATGGCAAAAATAGGGAAAAGCTAGCTGAGCTGCTTTAGAATGCAAAAGATGTCTTCGGCTTGCTCCAACCCTAAAGACCCAGAAACAACATAAGCCTCGGCACCTTGTTGCTCTTCATTTAAAGTCCCCCGAAAAAGCACTAATTTTCTAGGAACCCAGAAGGCTGGCTCTACATCACATGCCACCACTTGCCTTCCAACACTGGCAGTGGGGAATGCCAGGCAGACACACGGATATATTCTGTTGTTATTTCTAAGGCACTCTGGCTTGTATCCCCTTGAGGTCAGCAAATATAAGGGTTTTAAAGAAAAAGAAGAAAAGGAGTGTGTGAGAGAGAAAGAAGTCAGTCTGTATCATATCCCAGAATGGGGCCAAGCCATCTCTCCACCTCTGCCACAGGCATGTTCTTCCTCAAAGCATAATCCTCAATCTGTAAAAGACAGAAGTATCTTGTTAAGCCAGTGTGCTAAGACATTCTAATCTGAGTTTCCACAGGCCTTTCAAATAAACATTAAGTACCTGGCATATCTTGTTTTAACAGCAATCTACCGAGCCAAAGAGAGGTATTATCTGTCTGCCTACTTGCTTTACTCTCTAGGCAGAAAACAACATGCAACAGATGTCTGATGCTTAGAAGCCAGCAGGTGGGTAGAGGGGTGGGTGTGTGTGTGTGTGTGTGTGTGTGTGTGTGTGTGTGTGGTGGGTAGAGAAGGAGGGCTAGAAACAGGGTAATGGGCTGAAATCAAATTAAGACACAAACTGGGGTGAGTTACACACACACACACACACACACACCAGTTCATTGTCATGTAAAATGGATCCTACAGGTCTACTGTAAAGACAGTTATCTAGAGAAGCCACATATTTACCTGATCCTTCGAAACTTTCCCCACAGCAAAATATTTGGACTTTACATTGGAGAAGTAGAGTCCCGACACTGCTGAAGCAGGTGTCATTGCCAAGGAGTCTGTCAACCTGATGCCTGAAGAGAAACAGGAAGCAATGAGTGCCCAGGCAGGGAACTAACAGACTGAGTGAGCACTAAGTAAACTCATGCCTCCTAGGTAGACACAAAGACACCGTAAGAAGCTCCAATCACAGTCTCTAGTAAATTCTTGCCAGGTGGAAAACCAAATTCAGGATATGCATGTTATTATACCCAGTGGGAGCAAGCCTGAAAAAGACTGCATTCTTTCCCCCAGCGACAATTTGTCTTGACACTGAGTCTTCTCAGGTAGGACTGCTAGTCGAGTAAGAGAAGCACCCATAGACCCCCCCATGACTCTGTGAGGTCAGTCGGCAACAGGAATGAAGAACAAGCCCATAAAAGCACCAAGAAGGAAGGGTTCTCAGGACTGTTACTCTGCACTCCTCACTCTATGGACAAGAACAGGGCATCACCAGTGATTGAATACTTTCTAACGATCTCTAGCTCACTCACAGGAAATGTGGCTCTCACCTAGATGTTACCCACCCAGAGCTTTTTCTACAGACCCAGACCCAATGCCACTCCCAGTTTCTTTGATATGGATTCAACTTCACCAGCTTTGATAGCTATTTTGATTAATTCTACTGGGTTTGTGATTTAACCTGAGTCTTCTCAACTCCACAAGCTGTGCAGTAAGGATAGGACAACACAAAGCCTCAGAACAATGACTCTGCCCTGAGCCAAGGGCAATGAGGCTGTTATCTCAACAGAGCATCGATCAACTTTTAACTTTCAACTCTGGGACTCAACCCATAGAGAAAATGTAAGGGGGTGATGACTGCAAAGGAGCATAAACGTTAATAATCAGGAAAGGAAAGTGAGAAGGCTAAGGGAGGCTGTGAGCTTGCCAGTTTAGAGCCCAGAACCAGCCACCAGCAAGCAGCACAGGCCTGAGTAGACAGAAGACACTGCTAACAGGACAGAGGCTGGCCACCAGCTACTGTACTAAGAACAGAAAACCAGGTCAGGAAAGGCAGGGGGAAGAAAGGAGAAGGTAAATCCCCATCCAGGACGGGGCAAGAGTTCCAACTACTATGTCTAAAATAGTAAAAATACAATGCTGTGCTTTGGCTACTGCCAGGATTTCTGAATCTTCTTCGAATCCCCCATGACAGCGCCCCTTACCAGCAGGAAGTAGTTTGGAAAGAACAACACCCAAATTCCCAAATATTGTCTATAAATGTTTGTTTTCATTTAAATGGACTTTGTTATATAAAATAAATTAAAAAAAAAAAAGAAATGATACACACAAAAAAAAAAAAAAAAAAAAAAAAAGAAAAAAAAAAAAATGCTGTGCTTTGGAAGTGAAGTGTCAAAACAGATCCAAGTGAGAAAGGATGGGATGAGGGATGATTTCCTTCTAAGTTCTCCCATTTTATAAGAACTTTAACTGCATATGTCACTGATAAGTACATGCACTCAGTGAGCAAGGACAGCAACTCACTGTCTCCGACACACCTGTGGCCTGCTCAATGTTGGCCAGTCTCCACATGGTGAGTTTCTCGGTATGGTCAGGCTGGCTGGGGTAACCAGGAGCTGGCCGGATGCCCTCATACCGGAGTTTGCGCAAGTCTGTGACACCCAACAGCTCATTACTACAGTAGGCCCACAGTTCTCGGCGAACTCTCTCATGGAGCTCCTCTGCAAAAGCCTGGGAACACAGAAGAGACAGGCACAGTCAAGCAGAAGCAACCTGTGGCCTCCAGCCCTGCACCACAATGGCGCAGAACCACTTTCCCTACCATGCCACAGTCAGGAAAACCTGCACTTTCATTAGCAGCTCTGAGACTCAATGGTGCTCTCAACTATGATCTGAAGTATCATATTTAGTAATCTGAGAATTCTCCACCATTTTCCTGAAGTCAGTGGGACCATAGATTTACCAGAAATGTACTGGGACCACAGGCACAGCTGCATTCTCCATCACCTGCAGAAAAGAAAGGGGACAGGACCTCCCACAGCTTGGCCTGCCTCACCCCACATGCAGCAGAGATAACTCTACAAAAGTTGCCAATATTAGAAAAGACTTTAAAGCAGAAATCTGACTTTAATTCTGGGGGGGGTTACCAGTAAAAAAGTATAATACTAATCAAAGGAAGACTAATTCAGAGATAAGAGCACAACAACCAACTAGGAAAACACTGGAGGTTTCTCTTTGCTAAAAGATGACACATGGCATTTGGGAGACACAGGACTTAATGTCACAGATTTTAAAGGTTGCTACATTTTCTGACACTGTCACGGGGCTCCAACAACCATTCTCCACTTCAACACCCCAGTATCTGCCAATGCCTTACCTCTGCCAGCCGGTCTCCCAATGCCTTCACCATGATGCTGCTGTAGTCATCGCCATCATCCTCATAGGCCTTACTCAGTTCTTCAACCCCAAAGCAGGCAACAGCAAACAGACCCAAGTAGTCTCGGACACCAGAATGCAGAGGAGCAATGAAGTCTGAGAGGCAATGGTAGGGGTCTGTGCTGGAAGAGTCCTTTTCAGCCTTAAAACCCAAGCATTGGGCAGAGAAGCCATTAGCATGGCATGGTAGAGAGCAAGATGAATGTAAGCCTTAGGACATAGAATGTCTGCCTGCTTCACTCAGCTCTGCCCAGCACTCAGAATGGTGTCTGGCACACAGTGAGTATGCAACAGATACTTGCTGAATAAACCAATGACTATGGTTTGAGAGTGTTCATACACTAATCCACAATCACTCAACACAGCCATGTGGGGCCCACAGGCACCGCAGCGTGGCGGGTGGAGCCATCATCCTTGATTACTGTCTTTCTTGCAAGATGGCTATCTCTGGAGTTCTTTTCTTGCTCGCCTACATGCTTCTCCCCCTTGAGTTTTGCCATATTACAAAGCAGCACATGGTTCTCATCAGATGTGGCTGCTTGATCTTAGACTTCCTAACATTCAGAACAATGAACCAAACTAAACATTTTTTCTTTATAAGTCTCCAGTCTTAAGTAGTTCTTATAGCAACAGAAAACAGACTAAGACACAAATAAAATGAGATTTTTAAAAATACATGATGTAGCATATATAATTAGCAACTAGTAGATTTGCTCATTTACACACGGACTAAAAACTTCTGAACACCTGCAGGCACTATGCTAGGGACAAGAACCTTAACAATCAGAGTAAACTGTGTTTTCAATTCACACAAACATGTTTGAGAAGACGCCAACAAACTGCTGAGGTCAAGTGCATACGGGCCCGGTGTTGTCCACCATGGTTAGAAGACTTCTGAGAACACACTAAGACAGCCTGAATAAAAGAATCTGTTCAGGGCCTAGGAATCAGAGTTGGAAAAAATGTCAGTCTAGAAACCACAAAGCTCTGTTTGATCTTTACTACCATACAAGTCAGGTACAGACTTGCAGGCCTATAATTTCAGTATGAATAAAGATCAAAGGTCCCTTAGTGGCACATCAAGTTTGAGGCCAGCCAGGGACACTGAGACCCTGTCTCAAAACCACACCCCATCCGCCGCCGCCACCTCCACCACACACACACATTCTCTCTCTCTCTCTCTCTCTCTCTCTCCCCCCCTCTCACACACACACACACACACACACACACACACACACACACACACACACACACACGAATCTACTTTTCTCTGGCTCTCTCCACAGCACAGGAGTCTATCTTCCACTGTTTTACTCTCAGCTGGTAAATGGCCCCTTCCCTGCTAAAGCTATCAAAGTCTTATACACATCATGGTCAATAAAAAGTTAATACCTTATAACTAATACTTCCTAAGAACTTATCACTTATTGTTCTTTATAGAACACTAATTTAGCTCTCAGCAATCCAGTGAAGAAAGTGATCCACAAGCTCCAGTTCACAAGCAAGAAATCTGAGGCATAAAATTTGACCCCATAGGTCCAGGAGACCCATCAGTTCTACAAACAAATGCTCCTAGATACATAGTACTGCTCTACACTGACCAATTAATCAAGGAGTAGTCATTCAGAATCTCCCAATCCATTTGTTAATCATGAGAGCAAGTGCAGCCTGACCCTGGGCAGAGAATAAGCCAGTGGCTGCAGGTCAGAAGATATAAGTGTTCCAGAGCTCAGGGACAGAGGTGAATGAAGGGTCAGTCCATTTTCCAGTAGTACTCTACTGCCCTTTGATTTAAAAAATGAAAAAGAAGCAAGAGAGGGACACAAAGCTACTCTGCAGTAGACAGGTCACTGGTCCCACTGTGCCTCAGAAGGGATGGCAATCAGAGAGCTACTCTGAACAAAAGGCTCCCAGAGTAATGAGGCGCTCAGCTACAATTTTTCAGTGCCCTGCAGATCGCCTCCTAATAAAAGGCTATCCACGGAGGCAATACATATCTATGGTCCAGTTCCCCTTTCTAGGGACTACTAAAAGAGTTCCCTGAGAATCCATTGCAGTAAATACCCTTATACAGCATGTCCAGACTTCCCAGACACAACAGGAATCATAGTATTTAATTCATTCTGGAAGTGAAAGGACAGCAGAGGAAAACCAAGGACTGGAGGATGAAAGAACGGGCTCAGGAGAGGTATCTGGCCTGAGCTACCAGTCAAAGAAAAGTCTCTGATTCCCTAGCAAGAAAGGGTCAGAGCTCAACACTGGAGCTCCCTGCCCTGGGTCCTGTGGTGTCTGAGCCTGTACAAACAGAGTAAAGCTGAAATAGTTCTCACATAATTCCTTATGGCACTAAAACCCAAATTTAAGAATCCCATCCGTTGTTACTAGTAAAAACCTGTCACTATGAGCTGCATTATGACAAAAGGCAATGCTGCCAATTTTAAACTACAAAAATATTAGTAAAACTAAAAAAAGTAACTTACTACTAATTAATAAATTCTGGCTCCAATTCTTGACTGAGACAATTGTGTCCAGCTAAAGTCTTTGCATGGTGCTTGCATTTTTAAAGGTGAGATGAAAAACAAACACAGACAGGGTATTCTTAGAACCGTTACAAGGAGAATACAGCCAGGGTGCACTCAAGGAGGCCTTCCTCTCTGCACACGAAGCTCAGGGCCAGCTCACGCTACCCATTTTTTTTCCTTCTGTGAAGTGAGGCATAAGCTGCCTAACAACAGCACCATGAAACAGTTACACTATGGCTATATTACTCCGACTTCAGCACCTGTGAGGGCGGACGTTCTGGGATATTTGTCCTCACCAGACTTCCCTTTGAGACAGTAAGCCATGTAACAGTTTTTAATAGCATACTCAGATGAAAAGCAATTGTTACGGAAAGCAAATGCCCCCTAGTTTCAAGAGATAAGGGTACTAAAGACTGAAAGCACGTGTGTGTGACAACTGGACCAGCAGCACTGTTCCCTATCAGCAGGGAACTCCTGACCGACCTCACGGACACCCATGTTGGTACCTTCTCTCCATCCTCACAGATGCTTAAGACTCAGACCTCTGGAGGCTGTTTGCAATGAGATTTCTTATTTATTTCTCACTGACACTTAACGTAGTTCCCAAGCCTGAGAGTCAAAGTGGTACACTCGTTGTCCACACATATCCATACCTGCTGCCGCAGCCCATAGAAGGTGGCTATGGGCTCTGAAGCCTGGGGCACCACACCCTCTGCATACAAGTGGATATCATCTTGAACACTCTGTGCTGGCCAAAATCCAACCACACCCCTGGCCTGGAGTTTCTTCTGACTTATCAATATGTTCAGCATATTCTGAGCATCATCATATACCTTCCTGGCTTCTTTACCTATTAAAAAATAAGAACTCATTTAAAGATGCCAATAGCAACAGTTCTTTTTTAAAACACTGCTGTTTCTCCTGCCCCTACCCTCTTCTCCATCCTCATACAGACTCTCAGCTGTGCCACGGGTACAGTCTGAAACAGAGTACACAGAGGCTAGTAGGTCCATGAAACGAACCCGCACAGTGTGCCTCCTCTAGTTCAATCTGTTTATACTTTCTCATTTAGTAGAATCCAGAGAGCTAAATCAAAGGTACCCAGAACAGTTTTGTCAGAAAGAGGGCAAGACTTGGCATTCCACATAAAACCCTATTAACTTCACAGTGATATATGAGGATGAGACAGGGCGAGCCATGATGTGTAGCCCAAATCCTCTTAAATAGCATTGGTGCTGTATCTGAAGAGCTTCAGCACCTATGTGGTAAGCACCTGACCAGTTCTGGGACACCTTCCATCAGCTCCCATTAGCTGTCAGTAGACAACACTGTGCTGCCCTACCTATGTGAAGGGTAGTCCATCCCTTCACAGCTGGCTGTGGTGGCACAGGAACAGTACAGTAGCAAGTGTCTCACCCAATCCTCCTGACTACTCATCAGTACTTGGATCTCAGCATCCTAACATACCCATCCGAAATCTAACAACTGTCTGGTTTCCCTGGCTCTCTCCAGTCTGAACCTCATGGATCACCAGTACTCCTCCTGAATGTCTCTAAGAGAGGTGGATGGGGGTGAAGCGCCATCCTTCCTTTTGTATTCTAGGTAAAATGAGAGCTGCAGTTCCCTACACGGGCACCCATGTCCAAGGCTTCTCATTCTCTTTGGTTTGACTTATTCCTTCTTTATTTCAGCTTCCTATCCTTAGGCCCAGCCTCAGCAATTCCCATGGAATCTTCAATAACAGTTCACATACCACCATTGGCAGGAAGCCCACTCAAATTTCCTGCTGGAATTCTAGCCCCACTTCTTACGTGAGTGGGACCCCAGGCTGAGCCATAGCAAGAGCCCAGCAACACCTAGTACTGTCAGCTGCACCAGTGAGTCAGTACTAAACCAAAGGGTTATCACCTTTTGTTCTGTCTCTGCTGAGCAGAGACCAATATGTAACCGATGTCAGTGAGTACATTAATTTAAAGAATGAATGAATGAAAGGCCAAATTTACCCACATAAGGACAAACAATGAAAAGTTCACCTGAAAGTTGAGCAATATGGAAGCAGCTATATCCTGTGCAAATTAAACATTTAGTGCATCCTCTCAAACCACCTTCAGAGTCACATCCTGAATACCAGACAGGAAGGATTTACTAACCTACTGTTTTGTCGTTAAATATCTTGGGGAAGCCTCGATTTGGGTACTTGCCACGGAGCTGCCAGACATCGAAGAAAGGTTTCCAGTCAATGTAGTCCACTAGCTTTTGTAGGTTATAGTCTTCAAAAACCTGGGTCCCAATAAAGGTGGGCTTCACTAGAGGAAAGAGACACAGCTGTCAATGCCACACCGGCTGGGAGAGCACTCATATGGTCATACACTGAGGTGTCCTTCCCTTCTCCTCACTTGCAGCTTACTCCCATGCCTGTCTCCCTCCTGTCACCTGTAGGAGTTGTCTTACCAAGAGGGGATCCTTAAATTATCATAGAGAAGGAATTTCCCCATGAAGCTGAGTGACTATCTCATGCTGTAAACTCCTCCCTCCGCCATTTCATCCCCACCATGTCTAAGAAAAAGGGAAGCCTTTAGTACACTCCTGTGTGTACAGATGGTGGTAATGTTAAAAAAAAAAAGACTGCTGTAGAAGGGCATGTGTAGTACACTACTTATACAAAACTTACAAACATGAACCAATAGCCTTCACAGCATACACACACACACACACACACACACACACACACACACAAACACACACCCCACAGATTGTAAGGGCATATACAGAAATGCAGCCCCAAACTCCAAACTGTGGCTACTTCCACAGGGAAGGAACAAATATAGCACTGCCGTTATGGATGAATATCTTTGATTTTTTTAAAGAAGATTTATTAAATCATAACTTATTTCGTAGGTTGAGTAATGGAATACACAGGCATTCAGGAATTGTTCTCTGCATGTCAAGTCTGAAGCATATCCAACATATAATTCTAGGGACTCTATAGGCCCTCAAACAACTCAGGATACCAAGGACAAAATGCCACATGGATACTGGGCCAGAGGCCAAGGGGCCAGTGCTAATGCCAACTCTATACTTCCCTGTGACTAGGGATCCAGGGACTCGCTGTTCCATCCACTGTTAATAGCTGCTCTGAAGAACATGGGCCACTCAGGGCCAGGGGAGAGCAGAAGAGCTCTTAACTGAGCTGGAATCTCTGCCTTCCTGTACCAGTGACTCTTCCCCATCTGCTCTGCCATCTTCATACAATCCGGGGCTGCCCCACGTTTTAACCACTACCGTATAGGTTAGTTTGTTAACAAAGTCGGCAGAGTCCTTTTAGGAGAAACAAGAGAAACGACTGACATCCCCAGACCAAAGAGACCCCTTGCTAGGTGGGTGGCAGTGACCTGTAGCTGTGGAGTTACCAAGTGCAGGGTGCTCTTCATCAAGCTTCGAGCCTGAGTTCTAAGAGTGTTTCAGGCTCTACTTCCCAGGGCCTATAGAGAAAGCCCTGCTTTCTTACTGGTTTCACCTCATACAGCTCCCTCAAGTGGGCTATCCTCAGAACATTCAAAGGCCATACCTTGGGACCCCATATCCCTCAGGCAGCAGGGTAGAGCTAGTGATGTCATCATAAGGGGGTGAAAAAGGCAATCCAGGAAGTATCTCCATCACTAGCAGATATTATGGGCCTTCTCAGGGTCTTTCTAGCAAAATATATATTTGGATGTGTGACTTTCCCTGGTGCCTCTAGACCACTTTCAGAGTAAAAGATAAACAGCAAACTATCATAGCATGAACTCTGTTGTAGTGACTTGTATTTCTTCAAAGATTTTCACATTAGTATCTTTTTTTACCCTGTCAACATTTCCATAAAGCAATCCTCCTTTACACATCAGTGCTTGTCAAATGTAGAAGAAAGACAGACACTCAAGGTCACACAGGGAATCAGAGCCAGGAAGGAGCCAGGCCAGGATGAGCACCCGGGCCTCCCAGCTTCCAATTTGGCACTCTTTCCACTAATTCCACTGAACCCAGCAGGAATGAAATTAGAACATAACACACCTACATTTCCAATTTAATCCTCTACTCTGCCGAGCATGTGTAGAACACAGATGTCATGAACACTGGGAGCTGGTTCCAGACATTACTTTGGAAATACAGATTCCTTTAAGACACCCACCCCCCCTTCACCCGGTCTCTGTTTTGCATTTGTGCCTCAAGTCTCTCTGAGCCTGTCAAAATATCTTATGCATAGTATCCCCTTGTGAATACCTATGTGAGGTAAGAAAGGGAGCAGAAATAAAACAGGAAGAAACCACATAAGAGAAATTCAAAGGGAAGCATCCAGAGACAGAACATGAGAGCAAAAAGGATCCAGCTTTTCAAGACCCATGAATGCAGTTATTTTATATTTCAGACATTCTAAATGAGTCCTTTAGCCTGCATACAACTCAGGTCAGTCGAGGAGGCTCATTCAAGCAAACACAGAGAAGCAGAAAGGCTACAGAAGCTTGGTAGAAGCTTGACAACTATTCAAGTTATTGGCTGAAGTTGGAGTTTCTTAAATTAAAATTAAGACAATAAACATGCTTGTTACAAGAGTCATCAGAAGCCGGGTGGTACTGGCGCACACCTTTAATCCCAGCACTTGGGAGGCAGAGGCAGGTGGATCTCTGTGAGTTCAAGACCAGCCTGGTCTACAAGAGCTAGTTCTAGAACAGCCTCAAAAACCACAGAGAAACCTTGTCTGGAAAAAAAAAAAAAAAAAAAGAGTCATCAAATCAGCCATGGTGAATCCATCTCACAAAAGTTTGTGGCACTCAAAAAGGTCTTCCTATCCACCTTCTTTTCAACTAGGGTGACTCATTACTATCCTCACTTGCAGGTTCATTTGTAGCAGAGTAATGGCAAACAGTCCTAGACATTGTCAGGTTTGACAGCCACAGACCTGGGTGAGGTTCAGACAGCCAATCAATGTGGAAACCATTTTTTCTGGCTTGACTTAGGGATAAGTATTTTCTCTCCTGTTGAAGAAAATGGTAATTTAGTTAAAACTTCTTAGCCTTTCTATCTCTACAATGAAAACATAACCAAGAAAGTTTTGCAAACAAAACAAACAAATGAACAAAACCAAATGCTTTTAAAGGATAATCCTTATTCTTTCCCAACCAATATGGCTTCACACTGCCACCAAAATAGGAGAGAGTAAAGAGCAACACGTGTGGTTGTGGTTGTAAGACTGACCCTGCAGCCTTTATCAGTTCTTTCAGGACACATGAACTTGGAGTTAACTGCCCTGCCAAAACTAGCCTGAGGACCAGAGCAGGGTAGACCCAAGGACCTGTCAGCTGTAAGCAAACAGGAGACTGGAAAGAAGCTATCAGCAGCACCTACAGCTCTCAAGCACCTTAGAAACATGTCACTTGTTTATTCTCTCTTTCACATTCCTAGCAACTCCCTTAATGTCCACACAAAGATGGACGGCAGACAAGCCTAGGAACTATCCTAGTGACTTAGAAGAGTAATTATGGAGTCCCTGAAGCCTAGAGGGGACCATTCCTGGCACATGACTCGGAATAGCAGACAAGTTGAGCCAATACTCAGGAAAGGCTGGAGAATGACTAATTAACACCACCATTTTCCCCTCAAGAATAAGTCTGAGAACATCATTTTAGAATGGCTTAGCTCATATTTTTGGGACGTCTGTGAGCTCACGTTTCACTTATTCCCACAGGTCCGGTGTCCACCATACAGCCTAATATCTACTGAGGATTCAGAATGTTGGGCTGAATACAGTTTAAAAAAATATTCCCAAGTGTTTTCAGACATAGTCTTGCTATGCAGCCCAGGCTGGCTTCAAACTTATGATCCTCTTTTCCCATCTAAGTGCTGGGGTTATAATCATGCAAGTCCATGTCCTACTTATAATTCATTATAAAATAAAATTTAAAAGAATCAGGAATTTAGATACCAAAAACTCAAGTTCGTGCTAGGAAATACACTTCTCTCAAAGGACTCCTCAAAACAGTCAATAAAGCCCATGAAAAACCATGGATCACTCTGCTTTTATCACTCTGCTTTTACCTTGATAGACTCATAGTGTTCCTGTCTAATGTCTTCATACTCTTCTAGTATTTCTTCAATGAAGTCATCTTTCAGATTTTCATCTAACAGCTGAGAACACTGAAACGCAAGATAAAGTTCAACAACCATCAGCAAAGGAAGATAAAGTCCATGGGGCGGGTGAGATAGCTCAGCAGGTGAAGATGCTTGTTGCCAGTCTGACAACCTGACTGTAATCCCTAGGACCCATGCATGGTAGAAGAAGAGAACCAATTTCCACAAGTTATCTCTGATCTCCATACATATACGGGGCCCCATCACCCGACCACCTCCACCCCACAATAACACCTCATGATACACTCAACTCAGTGTAATAGTGATTACTGTATAAATTCCACATACATGAATAAACAGATCTGAAATGTTTCCTTTCAGAAGACAGCATAGAAACCGTGGTCACTGTCATCCAGAATGCCCCATGTTGGTAGAGTCTCCCAGATCACCAGGCCCTTCAGTAAATGTCTTTCCCTACAAAAATCTTGAGTTGTCAAACTATGCTTTCATTGAAAACTATAAATGGGATTAAGGACGGAAGAGGCCGCTTAGCTCTTTTCTATCTTACACTGAGTTTCTAGGCAAGTAACTTGGAAGCTGAAGGACTATGTGATTATTCTCTCACATGTCGCCCAGCTGTTGTAGCCTATTACTCAGCAAACACATGAGAATGACAATCGGGATTTACTACAAGAGAAGGGCAGGGGAAAACACCTGAGCAAGGTTTTCTGTTTTGTGCACTAAGGAACTCTCTAGTACTTTGGGTTTTGAATATCTGGTGGCTGCTTTTTGGTTGAGTCAGCTGGCCCTGTCAAGTGTTCTTAGATCTGGAACAAGGTCATTTTAAAATTCTAGCACTGATCAAAGAAATTTACTAATATTTGTAAAATTAAAGGCATCTGTCAATCTGGCCAGATGTCCAAGTGCAAGGCAATTTGGTGCCATCCTTCAGCTGTTGCTTACTTCTGTCAGCGTCCCTGAAAGCACAGGATGCTAACAGGGCTTACTTCCAGCAAGAAAAGCACTGCAGCGGCACACCGCGAACGTCCACGTGGCATTTCACCTGCTCCTTCACATTTCTTCAGGAGAACTTGCCGAGACAAAACACCTCAGCTCTCAATGCTTTCTTTGTTCCCTCTTCACAACACATTTCAAATAAAAAGACCCCACACTTACCACCACCACACTCTTGGATGCATCCAGGACATGGATTACAGGCGCACTGTATCGTGGTGCTATTTTAACTGCTGTGTGGGTTCTGAAAATAAGGATCAAGAAAAAAAGCATACCCATCAGTGCTGATGGCTCTTTGCTCAAACAACTTGAGTTCAGAACCATTAGAGGTATTATGTTTCTACAGTATTTTCAAGAAAAAGACTTCAAGGTACTTTACTTACAATATTGAACTTCAAATTTCCCTTACAAACCAAGAATGACTTTTCATCATCCTGAGATGGGAAAACAAGGTGAAATGACATGGACTAATAGGCCTAGGCTCCAATGGAGTCTGACAAAATGAGAAAGGTTTGTTCTTAGTTATCTGACAACAAGGAGTGAGTTCCAGCCCAGGCACTCATCACAGTCTGCTTGAGCCAAGGGAAGAACCAGTCCCTGGCAGTCACAGGTCAGCTTCCTCTTTCCAAATGAGCTGGGAGAAGAGCCAGTGCCCCAGGGAAGCAGGAAGCAGGCAGAAGACATAGGACACAGATCTGACTGCTGCTTCCTCTTTGAGAGAGACATCTATACCCTTGGCCTCACCCCACCTCCTACTTGTAAAAAGAAACCCCAGACCCGACATGCAACAAAAAACAGAAAGAGGCAGGAATACAGTTGAGGGGTATAACTCTTGCTACAATGCAGAAAGTCCTAGGCTCAATCAATCCCTAATATCACAAAAGTGAATCAATTAATTAAAACAAAGCATAGAAGTAACAAAATATTGCACTGAGATTTGCTCAGCCCCAAGTTTCTATTGCCAAACTTCTAACGTGCAGATACTAGGAACAACCTTAATTCTTAAGTATCACATTTAACATGTTAAAACATATTGTTCTGATTGCTAGGTGCTTATAGCAATGGTGTAGGCTATGTATCAACAATTTCATTAAGAAATATACAAAATTAAGTGAGAACTGGAAACAAATACAGCCTCCCTTTGAATGGTTAAAGTGGGGCCTGACGATGGAGAAAAGCGGTTCACAGGATGGCTTACAGCAGTTCCCACTAGGTGTTTCCTGTTCTTTCCTCCTTCCAAATAAGCTATTTTCATATTCTTTCCCTTAGTCAAAGTGTATTATAATCTTATGTTTCCCACCATGGCCTACTCTAGAATTAACATATTTTTATCAACACTGCATAGCTGGTGCTTTAACTTGGCTGGTGAGATGGCTCAGCGCCAGTAAACGTGCTCACTGCACAAACCTGATCACCTAAATTCAATGCCCCGAGCCCATATAAAGGTAGATGAAGAGTCAGTGAGATGTCAGCATGGTGACATAAACTCAATCCTTTGGACCCACATAGTAGAAAGAAAACTCTTGTCCCCCAAGTTGTCCTCTGACCTCTATATGTACACCATAGCATACTCACACTCAAGAGAACCAACTCCACAAGGTTGTCCTCTGACCATCACACACACTCTCACACTTTTTAAAACCAAAGGAGAAAAAAAATAGAGATGAAAAAAATCAAGATGGAAACAGAAGAACAGCTTCAAAATTGCATTCCATGAAATCCTACACACCCTACATTTTAAGCTTCCCTACCAAAAACTCATGGTCAAAGTAAAGAGGAGGATAAAATCACCTTACTTCTGATTGATTAAACACACTCAGAAAATTATCTCTACCTTACAACAATGTGACTTTCCATTAAATTTAAAAAAAAAAAAAAAAAAAAAAAAAAAAGGAAATTGCAAAACCTACTGACTGGTTTTGCATCAACTTGACACAAGCTAGAGTTATCAGAGAGGAAGGAGCCCCAGTTGAGGAAATGTGTGGACTATTCTTTTATACTATGTGTCACTGTGATTTGTTTAATAAAGAAGTTGACTGGCCAACAGCTGGACAGGGTAAGGTTAGGTGGAAAAACCAGATTAAGGACAGTGGGAAGAAGAAGGGAGGAGTCGGAGGAGTTGCCAGCGAGACACGAGAGGAAACAGAAGGTGCAAGATAAAAGAGCAGTAATTTCATGTGGCAGAATGTAGATTAATACAAATGTGTTAAATTTGTAAAAGTTAGCTAGTAACAAGTCTGAGCTATTGGCCAAGCGTTTATAACTAATATTAAGCCTCTTTGTGGTTATTTGGGAGAGGCTGTTAGGACATCAAATGGAAAAAAAAAAAACAACAAGACAAACAAACAAAACAACAAAAGAAATGCCTCCAAGAGATCCAGCTGTAAGATATTTTCCTAATTAGTGACTGCTGAGGAAGAACCCAGCTCACTGTGGGTGGGGCCATCCCCAGGTTGATGGTTCTGGGTTCTATAAGAAAGCAGACTGAGCAAGTCATGAGGAGCAAGCCTATAAGCAGCATGTCCATGGATTCTGTCCTGTTTGAGTTCCTGTGCTGACTTCCTTTGATGAAGAGCAGCAATGTGCAAGTATATGCTGGATTCCTTCCCAGCTTGCTTTTTGGTCATGGTGTTCCATCACAGCAATAGAAACCCTAACTAAAACAGTGTAACTGGCTATACATTAGTTAAATTTAACAGCTGACTTTCAGGATGTATACCTTGTGAAGTTCTGTCTGTAACAAGGTTAGATTTCCATTAAGTTCCCACATGTAATACCACATCACCATACTGCAGATAAAATAACAGTTGGTTTTCTCTTTTATAAATACAGGTTTAAAAGGGACACTTCAAGAATACTCCCATTAGTCTCTGACCCCTAACCTTCAGCCTTTCTAAAGACTGAATGGTCTTGTACTCAAATGTCTGGGAGCACAGGTCTGGTTCATGCTGCTACTGGAAATGTCACAGCTTATCACCCTCAGAAATCTGTCTCATGAAATCATACAAGTCCTTAACTGTCATCTGGCAAAGGGAATAATTAGCCACTGCAGTACCCGTGATCATCTGAGAAGAAGCAACCAGGGGTCTTAGGAGAATTTTTCTTTTGTCTGGTGGCTCCTGCCAGAGTCTCCAGCCTACACATTCCAGACCTTCCAGTCACATGAGCCAATCCCTCAAAAGAAATTTTTCACTCTAGGAGGAGCTCCAAAATACCTATTATTTCACTTTTGCACTAGAAAAAGGAAACAAAGAAAGAAAATCTGCACACTGTGGAACCACCAAATTGAGTGTTCCAGCTTGATATTATCGCCTGCCAACCATCAAGTCTTCCATGTAAGAAATGCTGCAAAAGCCCAGTGTCTCTTGCCATGACCATGATTCCAGGAAGAACTTGAACCAAACACTGCCATGTGACTCAATGTGGACATCCTCCTCTTTATGCCTTTTACACTAACTGACTTCCTAGTTCATTTTCATTAGTGTGTCTCTATTACAAGGTCAGAGTGTCTTCAAGGGGATTTGTAATTACTTAGCAAGACTCCTGCTTGAATAGAGTAGGCATAAGTTCAAGAAACATCTTTCTGAAAAAACAAAACAAAACAAAAAACCCACAATTTTGCTATTCAGTCTGATTTCAAGAGGGTTAAGAGTACATTATAATTCTTAGGAGCTGCCTGGAAGAAAAAAGATTACGGAAAAGATAACTACAAGCCAAAACAGGGTAATCACAAAGGAGTTTCCCAGAGTGGGCTCCAGAAGCCTTCTAACACTTCCCAGTGAAAGAATGGAAAGCTATACAACAAGGAGACAATGTGCTAAGTAAATTCCCCATGGTCATAAACAATGGCATCGAAGAGAATTCAAAGTGAGTATAGAGATCATCACACTGACTTACTTTGACGTGGTTGCTCCTCCTATCAACAATGGAATCTTTATAGCCAACCTCTCCATTTCCTTGGCAACAAAAATCATTTCATCCAGGGATGGAGTGATGAGTCCTGACAAGCCAATTATGTCTATTGTTAAAAAAAAAAAAAAAAAAAAACCAGTGAGAATGAGAATGAAAGAAAAAAGACCATTTTTTAAAAATTTTGTACTGAAGATCAGAAAACATAACATGTCAATTTCTAATTCTAGGAATTCAGTATTTGTTTTGGGTAATAAGAAGTGTAACTTAAATTAGCAGCAAAAATATTTGCAACAGATTTAGGAAGCCACACAAGAGAAATGATCTCTAGTTCATGATAATCTCAGACTTGACTACAAAAATAACTACCGGGGGGGGGGGGGGGGGGGGGGGGAATCGAACCCAACTGTTTTCCTCTAAGAAGCTAGCCCACTCCACCTCTAGAAGGCAGGAGGCCCATGGACACTCACACACCTCTTTCAAACCCTGACAGCCTGCAGTGCAGCTGGCTGCCTGAATGTCCCTCAGAGCTGGGCTTTACCATTCTCCAACAGACTCTTCTCAGGAGAATAATGCTGAATGCTACACCCAGCAGACTATGGCACAGTACCTGCTTTGTGGTCCAGAGCTGCTTGAAGTATCTTATCACAGGGAGTCATGACTCCTAAATCAATAACTCTGAGGCAGGAAATGAGATGTCAGAAAGTTAACAAGAGCCCAGAAGAGACAAAGCTGAAATGAACATTTTAGTTTTAGCCACTAAAAGCTGCTCTAATATAAATTGGAACCATAGTCATCCATGTTAGTATCCCCCCTCCCCCTTTGGTTTTTGTTTTGTTTTGTTTTCTAGAACAGAGGACTGAACCCAGAGCCTTGTGCAGCAAGCACTCTACAACTGAGCTAAATCCCTAACCCCCACATTAGTTTGGTTTTTTGTTTTGTTTTGTTTTTTAAGAAGAATAATATTATATTGTATAGATACTACAGTTTCCATCTGAAATGTGTCAGTATTTTAAAGGCTTGGCTCCCAGCTTGGCATTTTTATTTATTTTTATTTTTGTGTTGTTGAAGCAGGATCCCCATGCTTTCCTTGATTTTTCACATCCTGGGTATTGAGGCTTTTACATGACACTGTGTTGTCATAGGACCAAAAACAACAGGGCCAACAAGGGGCTGAAACCTCTAAAGTTATGAGCTGAAACAAACCTTCCCTATAAGTTACAGGTACCTACTACAGTGACAGACAGCTGACTGACACACTGCATTCTTACCCATTCATCGACTAATAGACACCCGGGTTGTTTCCACTGTATTGTGATTATTGAGTGGCAATCTAAACCTTCACCTTAACTCTTTATTGTAAGTACTACTCCACATACCCATTTTTAAAAAGGAATCATTTTAAGACAAGGTCCCATCACTCAATTTATTGGCAGTGGAGTTGGGGTATGAATAAGAAACTAAGACAAAAACCTATTGCCTCGTCCATTGAGGCCAGAAAAAAAGGTGCTGGTGGGAGCCAGCAGAGAGGAAGCACAGGAAGAGGTTAGGCCCTACACATAAGCAAGGAAGGGAAGACAGAGTGACTCACAGCCAGCACCAAGACAGGTCAGCGGGTCTCAAACAGAAAGACAACTCTGGTGGGCAAGCACCAAGACAGGACAGAGAGCAGGGTCTACAGAAATGGTTCAGCAGCTAAAAAGCCCTTGATGCTCTTGCAGAGGATCATAGTCCAAATCCTAGCAGCCATATTAAGTGACTCACAACCCCCTGTAATTCCAGTTCATGGGAACCTAATACCCTCTTCTGGTCTCCAAGGCATGCAAACACATACACCTAAGTTTTAAAATAACTATTAAAAACAAAGGGGGTTGGGGAGCAGAATAATCCTGAAGAATTTCAGAGAGGTACACAATCTGGAACTGGTAGAAACTAGGAAGTCTCTGAAGACCTTCTGCCTATTATACTCCATGTTATCTTAAGAAAGTTGTACTGTGTATTTTTTTCACTTAACCTTAGCATATCTGTTACATGTTTTAAAAATTAGAGCATGCATTTTCATTTATTATCAGAAATTCTTAAAACCAAACCAAAACTGACAGGTATGTGTAGTAGTGCATCCCAGAACTCAGAAGGGTGAGCAAAAGGATTGCCCTGAATTGGAATCCAGCCTGGGTTATATCTAGCAAGTTCCTGGATAGCTTGGGCTATATAGTCAAACTCTGGTCTTAAAACAAACAAAAGCTTAAAGTTTTGTTTTGTTGGGTTTTGCTTTTTGTTTGTGGTCGTTGTTTTGTGTTTTTTTTTTTTTTTTTTTTTTTTTTTAGTTAAGAACATCTCTAGAACATAGTATCAGTTGTCAATAGTGAGTGCTGAACATGGAAGTGGGCCGTAGGCTTGCTTATCAGGTTTACTACAAACCTTCTTATACTAACGGATTGGTATCTTGGTATTTTTTTACATGAGGTTTGTTTTGTTTTGTTTTGAATTAACCAAAACTATGGAACCCTCAACTGAAAGTGAAACAATTTCAGGTTGACAGCAAGTCACTGGGCTCTGTTAGAACTGTCAATGACAGATAGATGCTGGAGCTGATAACTCCTAGATTACTGTTATTTTTTAACATAGTAAAGAAAATCTAGTAACTAAAGAGCTTTTGTTTAAGATGACTAAGTATACACTGCTGAATATAAAACTAGGAAAAAGAGCAAATAGTTTTTAAATCAAGACAAAAAAGTATGCACCACCAAGCTGATTCTTTACATCATATGGTTTTGACATTTTCTGGCCTTTAATGAACGGCTGAACTGTCTCTCCAGCCCTGTATTATGTTTTTAAATCTGATTAAAAATCATCAGAATAATGACAATTAACTTGCTCTCACTGTGTTCTCGCGTTTTATCTTGCTACTTTCAGGCATGTCTTACATGCATGAAGAAAATCCAGGTGACTGGGGTGGTTGAACAGACAAAGGGAGAAGGTTGGAGGGCAAAGGACACAAACTATATACCACACACACCCAAAGGAGCAGAGGGCTTCTTAGACCCAGGGTCAAGAGCCACCATCACAAAATGGAACCCATGCTGTTTGCAACTGAGCCCAACTGGAAACTGGCCTGTATTTCTCAGCGATTGTGTTCATTGGCAGAACAAGATCCACGCAGTTCTCAGATTACACCCTGAAAAAAGACCTTGCAGACCAGGTCAAGGACTATGATTCTCTGATAAGAGAAGGCACTGCAGGCATTGAGTGGAGTAAGAGTGGTTCCAGTCAAACAGAGTCACTTGGAACCAGAAAAGTCCAGAGAAAAAGCAGAGACTGGTTAGGTTGCTACACAAACCCAGGCATCAAACAACAATGGTCTGGCTATGGGTGGTAAGCTGGCCATACCCTGCAAATATTGTATTACATGAAGCTTGGAAGAAGAGAAGCCAGGAACACACAAGGGTTTGGTATGAGTAGTGTTTTGAAACTGGTTATTTAGGGAGAAGCGTTTTTGTTTTTTGGGTTATATACAGAGTTCTGCCTGCATGTATGCCTCCATGAAGGAAAAGGACACCAGATGGTTGTGAGCCACCATGTAGTTGCTGAGACTAGAACTCAGGACCTCTGGAAGAGCAGTCAGTGCTCTTAACTGCTGAGCCATCTCTCCAGCCAGAGAGAGGTATTCTTAAGATAATAGCAACTAACTCCATTTTCAAAGTATCAGTTTGCTATTTCAATCCAAAAGGAGTCCTTTAAGCAGTACCATGACCATGTACATCTGGAGTCTGGGAAAAGAGGTTCACATGAAGACAATGGGCCTTATCAGAGTCAAAGCACTGGATAGATGATGAGGCTGAGCCCATCCTGGGCCTTACTACTTGAGGATTCCTGTACCTCTAATACCAATACTACCAGACAGCTCCCTGCAAATGCAGGACTTGAGCCAAAGCTACCCTCCCCTGACCTGAGTCTCCCTAAGATGTGAAGGGACGGGACAGGAAAGGTTAAGAGGTACCATCCTAGACCGAGGAGCAGCCCAAGGGCTGAGCCTGGAGGCATTCTTGTGCATGAGGATAGTCTGCAAAGAAAGAGCCAGAAAAGAGAGACAGCACTGTCAGTGAAGCAGACCCAGGACAGTGAGCAAGGGACTGGGAAGCAATGTCAACCTGCAACTTCTTAACCTGCCTCTAAGGTGTCTGACTGGGAAATGACTGCAAACAGAACTGGAGTATTGCCAATTTTCTACACATAGAAAGCTTAGCCTTGAGTCCCAATCTAGCACTGGGCTGTCCCAGACGGGCATCCCCAAAGGCATGACTGTGAAAATGAAACATAATCTCTGAACTAAGACTCCTGCATGACAAGTGCTCCAGTGGAGGCATTTCTAGTATATGTGAAGACCGCTGAAGCCAAACAGCTAGAGGGACCTCGGGAAACACTTGACTGGAGGCGCACTTTGAAAAACATAAGTCAGTATTATCAGCTAGATGTAGGGAAGAAAGGATCAGCCTAGGCTGATCCTAGACCATGATGGTTCAGAGCCACGGTCAGCTAAAACTCTATGCACTTCCTGGGGCCTAGAGGGGGGTATGACTAGGTCCATCCCTGCCATTCCCTCTCTCTGGTTTCCTTCCATTCACCACTTCCTTTACTATCCCCTTGCGTACTGTGAGCGGTGTATACTCCATGTCTGTGGGTCTCCCTCAGTACAATATTGTTTTCTACCACAGAAAAGACTAAAGCGAGGAAAAATTAAAATTTACCTAGGTGTGGTGGTATACATCTGCAGTCCCAACACTTGGAAGGCTAAAACAGGAAGAACTCAATTTCAAGGCCACCCTAGACTACACAGTAAAACCTCTTGTGAAAAGAAAGAAAAATGAGAAGGGAAGAGAGTAGAGAAGAAAGTTGTAAAAAAAAAAATGTTAATTTTTCTATGTTCTTCCTTATTGTTTAGAATAGAGCTCTAAGAGCCGGTGAGATGGCTCAGTGAGTAGTTATTTGCCTGACATCCTGAGTTCCATACCTGGTGGGATGTGTGACTTTCAGAGGCAATTCACACATCCCACCACTAGATGGAAGCATCCTACCAGTCCAGCACCCAGCTGTGATTTTTGTTGTTGCCTCTACTTGGTTAGGCAGTACTCACAGGACCTACCTGCTGTTGCTTTTTTACCCCAACCCCCCCACCCCCCAGCTAGCCCACCCCCACCTTAAATCTGGATCATTTGAAGTCTTTAATCTGGGCCATACCTTCTGGTGAAAACACACATAAAAGGACCTGGAAGGAAGCTTTTGCTCTATTTACTTACTTGGGCTGGATCAACTCACTATGTTGATCCACCCACCTGCTAGGATTAAAGACCTCCACACCCAGCCCATTTCTATTTTTAAAAACTAAATTTCTGAAAGTCCTCTCATCAAAATAGGACAAGTGAAGGGCCTCTAAATTATCAATGACCTTGTGAGGTCCAATTGAGGAACCTAAAGGAAGCTGGATTAGCATCACCTGCCCTTGACTTATAGTAGTTCTCTGTTGTGCAGATTTTCTTATACAATTAGTGTTAAATAGGGAAAGTACATAATTGTCCCTCCCATAGTTGATAGTATTTTTAAAATAAACTATTATGCAGTCAATAATCTGATCAAAAGCACTTGAATATTCTATCTAATAATTCTCAATGGAAATTTAGAACACAAAATGAGCCATTACAATTAAAGTTGATGCAGGTCTACACAATACTGGTAGTTAAGTGACACCACAGAACAAGGGCTGACTTGTCATTTTAATGAACAATAAGTTGATGGCAGAAACTGTAGTCCTGATTTTCAAGACTAGGAAAGGTAGAAAGACTGTCCATGAGGAAAGCTGCCCTCCTGACACAACCAGCCTCAGCCTTCCTGAATGGAATCTAATCAGTGTTCCAGACAGAGATAGGTCCAGTGTTGAGAGACCAGAGGCTGGGAAGGCTCACTGTTAGCTGACAGCACAAATGAGAACACAAAAGAGATAACCATAGCACCAGCAGACTCCTCCATCAGAGAAAAGGCACAGTGGAAAGTAGCCCATGATGCCAAAGGATTGATGGCATGACAAGCATTAGTAATTTTTCATTGAAACATATTGTGAAGTTGGGAAAATATAAACTTAATATAAGCCATTAGCTCATCTTGAAATAACCTTGGTATGAATTCATTATGAGATATCAAAAAGGGGTTTTACCTGAATATAGCATTCCAAAAACTACATTGTCACTGTGATGGCCAATTTTCGTTGTCAACTTGACTACACTTGAAAGAATCTAAAACCCAAGCAGCTTGGTGTACATGTGAGGGATTTTTCTTGGTTGGATTAGGGTGGAGATCCACCCTAAATCCGGGTCATTTAAATTCAGAAGGTTCACCCTAAATCTGGACCATATTTGCTTAGTGGCGGCCCACCTAAAAGGACACAGAAGAAGGAAGTAATTGCCTTCTGTCTGTTTGTCCCAACTCTAAGTAGTAAAACCTACTTCTTTGGGATTCAAAAATGGGTGGAAACGGCAAGTTCTCTAGGACCTCCTGAGACTCCAGCACCAGTTTGGGACAGCTGAGACAGCCGGTTTCAATGACCAAACAACTACTGGACCCTTGGCCTTTCAGTCAGGAAGCAGTCACTATTAAACTACTTGGACCATAGCCTGTAAGCCTCTCTAACTAATATATCCTTTACTAATATATAGTTAGATAATCCGTTCATTCTATCAATTCTGTTCCTTAGAGAACACTAGTATAATCAATAAGAAACACATAGGATGTTGAGATTAGCAAAGGCAAAGCCTTCCTAAGAAGCCAGCTCTAGTAAGAACCCTGGACTAAAACCTGGCAGTTTGCTGGGTGGAAAATAGTACTGGCTTGTTTTGTGTCAACTTAACACAAGCTAGAGTAATCAGTGGAAGCAGCCTCAGTTGAGGAAATGCCTCCTTGAGATACAGCTATAAAGCATTTTTTTCAATTAATGATTAATGGGGGAAGCCCAGCCCATGGTGGGTGGTGCCATCCCTGGGCTAGTAACCTCAGTTATATAAGAAAGCAGACTGAGCAAGCCAATTAAAGCAAGCCCATAAACAGCAACCCTCCATGGTCTCTGTATCAGCTCCTGCCTCCAGGATCCTGACCTGCTTGAGTTCCTATCTTGGCTTCCTTTGGTGATGAACAGTAATATGGATATGTAAGCTGAATAAACCCTTTCCTCCCCAACTTGCTTTTTGGTCATGGTGTTTCATCACAGCAAGAGAAACCCTAAGACAAGCCTAATGAGCAACTAATAGAGACTATGTACAATACACATTCTCAAGAAGCCTCCTGGATGCCTAACCTCTAGGGATTGCTGCTTATTCTTTATGCCCTTAACAAATACGTAAGAGATACATAATTACATAATTATGAACAAAAAGTGCTGTATTCATAGCTGTAGACCAAAAAACACCTTATCCATGGCCATACTTTATGCCAGCTTTCTCATCCAGTAAAAGATAACACAATTTACATTTCTAACTTGTAGGGGAAGTAAGATCTCAACTTACCTGAAATTATTGCAGCCCAGCACCACACCAACTATATTCTTGCCTATGTCATGCACATCACCTTTAACAGTGGCCAGCACAATGGTGCCTTGGTAAGGGTCCTGCAAAGTGAGGCAAGCAGATGAGCATGGGGGGTGGGGAGGGTTCCCAAGGAAGACCATCTTCTTCTCAAGAGTCACACAGGTGATGGCAGAGGAATAAAAGCCAAGACCACCCAAGTAACAGTTTTCTATTTGGAGCTCTGTGCCTCCCAGAAGTTCCAGAGGCCTGCCTCGAATGTCAGCCCAGGGATTTCAACCAAGCTTATAGGTTCTAGCATCTGAAAGAGTCAACAGTCACAGACACAGTCCTACAGCTAGACCACATCCTTAACCCTGGGATATTGCCAAGGTATATTCTAGGAGTTGGAAAGGAGGGAGTACTATGGAATATTTAACTATGTCATGTTACATTTAATTACGTAAAAATGTGTTGCTGTTTTACCTTGCCTGCCTAAGGTACCTGGTTGGTCTAATAAAGAGCTAAATGGCAGGAGAGAGCTAAGTGGGGCTGACAGCAGAGAGAGTAAGTAGAAGGAGAAATAGAAAAGAGAAGAGAGGAGAGAATGAGGGAAAAAGAGAGAAGTCCAGTGCCATTCAGTTAGATGGAGTAGGACATACAGGAGGAAAGAAAGCATAAACACAGATGAAAGCAAACAGGTTACATTATAAGAGCTAGCAAGAAACAAGCATTACAAAAGGCCAAGCATTCATTACTAATATTAAATCTCTGTGTTATGATTTGGGAACTGGTTGGTGGCCCAAAAGAAAGCCTGTTGTAAGGGAAGAGCTGGCAAACTGCAGAGTTCCCTCAAATTTTGAAAGCAGCCCAATGGAGAGAATATAGAAAAATCTTGTATTTCTCAAAAACAGTTCTTTTGTACACAGATGAAACAAGAAAATGGGAGGCAAGGCAAGTGTCATGTCTCTAATTCAGCCAACTGCAAATTTAGAATTCTAGAGGCTGAAGTTGCCTGAACTACACAGGGTTCTGAATAAAGTAAAAGACTAGTGGCTTACTCTGGTGCAACAAGAACCAAAAAGTATTTGGGGGAGAGCTTTCTAAAAGCAAACATGACACAAGCAAACATGAACATGGCCATCAAGTTGACTCAGCAGGGGAAGAACCTGCTGTAAAAACCTACAGACCTGAGTTCAATGTCCTGAGCCCACCCACATAAAGGTGGAAAAGGGGCACCAGCTGCATAAAAGCCATACTGATGAGGCTTCTAACCCCACAAAAACAGCTCCTGAAAAGGCTCCAGGCCTGGACAAAATGACTTGCCTCGTCTTCAACAGAACCATTGAGCATTCTAGCTTCTTCTCTCTCTTTTTCCATGAAAGGGATAAGGTGTCCAACAGCCTTCTTCATGACACGGGCTGACTTTATAACCTGGAAAAAGGAGAGTCAGGAATCATTAGCAAACTATCACATGACTGCCCGTTGACTTGGGAAACTTCAAACCCAATTAAGAATGAATAATTAGCTGGGTGGTGGTGAGGCATGCCTTTAATCCAAGCACTAGGGAGGCAGAGGCAGGCAGATCTCTGTGAGTTAGAGGCCAGCCTGGCCTACAAAGCTAGCTCAGCCAGCCTCCAAAGCCACAGGGAAACCCTATCTCGAAAAACCAAAAGGAAATAAATAAATAAATAAATAAATATAAAAAATTATTGCACCATCCCAGATTTCTAATAGTGAGTAGAATGAGGAATTAGATCCCTGTGAGGAACACTAATAAATGAAGCACAGCAAGAGGAAAACCAAACACAAACCAAAGGTTATCATTTCTGTTTCTGAACTATTACTCAGTAGGTTTTTTTTCCTGCCTAAAGTCCTTCCACTGTGTCTCTGAATTCTATGCATCTGTTAAGCTCCATCATTCTATAAATACCCAGTATTGTAACTCACTTAAAACTGAGGTTATGACAGAAGAGGCTCTGTTAGTTTTTTATATGCTTCAGAGCCCCTAACCCAGAAGCTCAGCAGGATTCGTATGATAGTTTTAGTAGTTGCTTTATAAGAAGTCCTGTATTTACTTAAAAACATATCAATAAAGTCTCACTATTTAAAAGAATAACATATTTTCAAGATATGGATTCTTAAAGATAGCCATTAGTTTGTCAAGTCAAATGATAGTATTAACATTATATTTATCCTCGGTTGAGGTGGCACTGAAATATAGAACATGAAGATTATGGTACAAAGAATGTCTGCGAACTTTCTAACCACTACACACTCTCCAGATGGACTGGCAAGAGATGATTCCTAAATATACCCAGAGAAGGAGTGATCAGATAAAAGGCCTAAGCTGCAAAGTCAGAAAATACTCAAACTCACTATTTACTGAAAAACAGAGAAAGAGACTGGTTAACATTTGTGTTTTGCCAACCTGAGGTAGAAACATTTTTCCAGCTCCAAAAAGATCACCAACCACTTTCATGCCATTCATTAGAGGCCCTTCAATTATATTCAGAGGTCGGGGGTATTTTTCCCGGTTTAACCTGGCCTCTTCAGTATCTTCAACAATGTGCTTTTCAATGCCCTTAAAAGAAAAACAGAAAGAAAAAGGAGGGGGTAAGGGAACAAACAAGTGGTTGTATTAGGGTCAAAATCAAAGAATGAATCAGAGAGATGCTTAAGAGCAGGAATCCAATAATCAGTCTGACTGAGTTTGAGTTCGGGTTCTCATCACTAATGCAGGTAATTTACTAAGTTTTGGTTTCCTCACTTACAGAATCAAGAAAGTACCAACCTCCTGTTTATTTGGACAATCACTGTGACATCGCTTATTTATACTGCCTTGCTATCAATAGAAAGTAACTCAGAAAAGTGAGGTATTAGTGAAGACTGGGAATGTAGCTCAATGGTAGAGTAGGTGCTTATCATGTGCGAGTATCTGGGTTCAAGCCTCAGCAACGGATTATATGCTAATAAATAAGCATCTCTATAAAATCAGTATCTCTCTGCTCAATGAAGTGTGGTGATATATGCCTTTAGTCCTAGCACTTAGGAGGCACTGGACGTGCCTTGTGAAATCAAGCTCAGCTTGCTCTACATGGTGAGGAACACAGTAAGATCCTTTCTCAAATAAACCAGCATCTTCTCTCAAATAAACCAGCATCTTCTCTCACTATATAATACTACTTGCTAGAACAGGATTCAACACTAGAAAGGCTCTTAGGTGACTTTAAAAAACTTTAAAAAAAAAAAAAAACAAACAGAGCTTTCCTTCCCTGACTTGCTGACCTTTGCTGACAAGTCTCTAAAGCTGAGGATCCAAAGATTGTACGACACAAACTGTAGGTCTACAAACTGAAATATATGATGCTCAGAAGGGCTAAGAATTAAAAGTTAAATTCTACAGCCTTTAAAAAAAAAAAAAAAACAAAAACAAAAACAAACCCTCTGGAATTTTCCAGAATCATGAATGTAGAAACTGTGGTCAAGAAATTACTTGTCTCATCTAAAATTCTATATATTGTGGAAGAGCCACTACTGTGAGATCTAGAAAGGGTTCTCACTTAAAACTACTAAGTGCCTGGGCAAGTCCTTGCTGTGTATGTGTGCCTATCTTGTACACTACAGCCAATGAGTTCCAGAGCATCTTCCACACACACCTGTGAGAACTATCAAACAGCACTGGGAAACAGATCCTGCAGGTTATGGATCGATAGTCCAAAGTCTAGAGCAGTGCCCCCTCCAAGTGCTGTCAGCAATGGCACCAGGGAGCCATGAGTCACCAAGCTGCCTGCACAGGCTCTGGGACTCACCTTCACGAGAGCATACTCAAGACGCTCTTCAATGGAGCCATTCCTCCACTCATCTGTCTGGATGACTTTCTTCCCTCCTTTGCCATGAGTCTGAATTAAAATTAAGACCAAAGAGTGAGTACAAATGATACATAGTAAATTATCTGCAGCAAATAATAAAAAAAAAAAAAAAATCAGTGCCTTAAGTTCCCAGACTCCAGGGTGTTAAACATGAATCAAGATTGAAGTAAATGTTGAGGGAAAAAGAAAAAAAAAACCTTTTAAAATTTGAACTTTCAGTAGAGAAAGGAATGGTTGTACTTTTTCTTTCCTAAAAATTAACAACTGACATCAAATATTTCTAGGACATATATGTTATTCTCTAACACTCCAGCTCTCAGGAAGGCTCAATACCACCCACACACTATCTTTGAGAAGCCATGAGCAGTGGTGTCACATTCCTATAATCACAGCACTTAGAAAGCTGAGACAGGAGAATTTTGAGTTCCAGGCCAACATAAATTACATAATGAAATCACATCTCAAAAAAAATTCAAAAGCAGTAAAGCCTAGTATGATGATATATGGTTTATGATTCCATAAAGTTTGCCTGGGGATCAAACTGTAAAGCCAGCCACACTAAACAGCCATGGAAGTTGGGCAGTGGTAGCATACACCATTAATACCAGGACTCAGGAGACAGAGGTAAATGGATCTGTTTGAGTTCAAGGCCACCCGGGGCTACACGAGAGTAAATCAGTCAAAAAGAGTAGCAGAGCTCTTTCCTTTAATCCCAGCACTAGAGAGGTGTATAAGGGAGAAAGAAGCAAAGGGTCTCATGTGGCAATTGGTCTCCAGCCACATTGAAGAGAGCATAGCAGTCTAGGATTCTGAGGTTTAGTGAGAGCAGTGCAGTTTGGAGATGCAATCTGAGGTTCAGTGGATCGCCCCTTTGGCCTGAGCATTGGTAAAAGTGAGAACTCTCTAGTGGCTGGCTGCTTTGTTTATTTGATCTTCAGTTTGAACTCCAATATCTGTCTCTGGGTCTTTTATTGCTTATGTTAGTTACAGCTAGTGTGAAGGCAGAATGGCCCTGGATGTGGACACACTAAGCAGTCATGCTCGCTGAGATTTTACCATATAAGGGAGGAAGGAAGAAAACATAAAAAAGGGAAAGCTCTAACAGTGCACATCTGAGGCTGAATCGAAGATGTGTAACAGCAACATGGAAGTTTGAGGGAACAGACACCAACTGAGTCTCGAGGGAAGAAACTCAGAAAAGGGATAAAGGCACAATGCAAGTGTCTGGCACACTGGGTAGATTATACTACCTTGTATGTTCTCCCCTGGTGGCACCAGCTGCCCAAATCAGAGATCTTAGTGCTAAGCAGCCAGACGGCTCAGATAAGCACTTGCTGTGGAGCCTGATGAGTCCAATCTCTAGAACCCATGTAAACATAGAAGGAAAGAAATGACTCCAAAGCTGTCAGAGTACCACATGTGTGTCTGCAGACATTGGGAGGAGGGGTACAGCTCCTACTACTCAGACCCTTGAAGTTCAGGGAGAGTACAGAGGGGGCTTGGTGACCATTAGCTGAATGATTTAATGACAGACCAGAATCGATAAAGTCAGAGCAATGTTTATGCAGGAAAGAAAAGGCCAAGCCACAGAAATTCATTCTAGATTGAAATCTCCAGACAAGCGTGAAAAGGGAGAGGGCAGTAATCAAAGTTCTGTAGTCAGAGTCACACATAAATTACTTCTTTTAAAGGAAACTCAGAAGGAGGGGAATATGTTTATATATAACTGTGATGAAGGCCTGGTAACAGGAAGAGAGAAGGCAAACATAAAGCCATTATGTAACAGTGCGGATGAAGACAGAAGGAATTAGGGAGAATGACAAGGTGGTAAGGAGAAAGTCTAAACAAGAGATAATTAAAGAAAAAGCCTTTCTAATGCTCACACCATTACTGAAACATATAAGTAGCAAAGTCTTAGCAGCCATACAATCAAAACAGTTCCTGACTTAGGGAAGTTGCTGTATTAAAAAAAGGAATAATGTTCAAACATTCCAGAAAAAATGAGTCAGTGAGGAAAATATACAGACGATGGTAAATACAAACACAAAGATCAGCGAAGACTTCACTCAAATGAAAAAAACTACTCCCCACCTGATAACTGTATCCAAAACCTGATTAATTTGACAAAAAAAAAAAAAAAAAAAAAAAAACAATACTTAGAATGAAGCCGTCAGAAGTACACCAAGCCTACTTTAACTCTAATCAGTTACTTGAAAGAATATTCATAATGCAAAGACAAAACACAGAAACATGAAAGAAAGCTCAGTGGTAGAGTATTTGCCTAGCATGTTCAAATGCTAGGATTCAATCCCCAACACACACACACACACACACACACAACCAAAGACAATTAACAACAATGATAATAACAACATTGCATAACTTTCATGGTGTCTAACTAGAGTCTTCACCCCTCCTAGTGTTCACAGTACTGTGTTACAGAATAGTCTTTTTGCACACTATGAAGAAATGTCACTCAGAATGGTTTAATAGAAAACTAAAGGCCAATATCTAGGCAGGATTTTCAGGGCAGAGAGAAAGCAGCAAAGAAAAAAGACAAGAGTTGCTAGCAGATAAAGAGAAAACTGGTAAATACCACAAAACATATGGTAAACACATAGATAAACAGAAATGGGTTAATTTAAGCTATAAGAGCTAATGGGGAAAGCCTAAGCTATCAGCCAAGTTTTTATAATTAATAAGTAGTCTCCACTTGGTTATTTGGGAGCTGGTAGGCGGGACAGAAAAAGTCCACCTACAAATAACCCATCTGCTTACAGTACTGTAATGTACTCTACATACTACTAGTAGAGAAGATAATCACTACAATTTCTGCAATCTACAATGGTCACCTGCCTATATGATAGACTGCTGCAGCAGTGGCACAAACACTGTGGGTAGGAGCAACCAACCACTCTCTGGTTAGATTGAAAGCCCACTCCACGAGATGGAACCCATATCTGGCATTGCTCAAGTGGTCAAGAACCTGAGACTAGATAGACAATAAACCGAGAGGAAAGCCAAATACAATTGTTCTGCTTTACCCATAGATCAGTGTCTCACTCTGCCATCATCAGAGATGCTTTCTCTTGCAGTTGATGGGAACTAACACAGAGACTCACAACTGAAAACTGTACAGATTGAGAGATTTTAGAACACTCAGTCCAAAATGGAAAGTCTTCGTCACAGCCCTCCCCACTCAGGGCTTAGGAAGTGAAGAGAAAGAGGAGGCAGAAAAAATTGTAAGAGTCAGAGGGGATGGATAACACCAAAGAAACAGCATCTTCCAAACACAACAGGACTGATACACATAGGAACTCACAGAGACTGTGGCAGCATGCACAGGGTCTGCATACAGTCAAGCCAGATGGAGTCCCAGCACTGAGAGGAGGAACTGGACATAAGCTCCCTTTCTTAACCAAGACGTTATCTTCAATTTACAGTATTGCAAAGGAGACTGCAATGAAGTCTCACTAGGTCCATAAAGCACACATTCCCAAAGTAGATGGTCAACACGAAATAACTTCAATGTTCTCCCTGTAGATTTTATTTTTCTATCATATTGCTTTGTTAGGCATTTTTTATCTTACTGGTGGTCTTTTGCTTGTATATTATAGTTTCTCATACTGTGTTTCCATGAGTTGTGTGTGTGTGTATGTTTCTTGTGTTTTCTTTTTTTTCTATTTTTTTTTTTTTAATGTTTTCTAACAAGAGAAAGAAGGCATAGAGTTGGAAGAGTTGGGGAAGGAAAAACCCTAATCAGAATATATTGTATGTAAACAATGTATTTTCAATAAGAAAATGTGTAAGTGCACATAAAAGTGTACATATATATATATGTACATGTAAGTTGTAATAAAAACTTATCCTACAGTCATTACCTTCAGGTGGTAAGATTGTGATTTAGACTGTCTTCTGATAACTACATTCTGTGAATTTTCTACAATTAACATGTCGTTTAATGTAAAAAAAAAAAAAAAAAAATCAAGCTGGACGTGATGTCCTACACACCATCAATCCCAGTACTCAGGAGGTATAAGCAGGAGGATCTCTGGGAGTTTGAGACTAGTCTGGTCTACAAAGTGAGTTTCAAAACAGCCAATCCCAATCCCTGTCTCAATCCCAACACCCCCACCCCCAAAAAATAACTCTCATTTAAAAAAAAAATCAATTTAGAAATGTCTAAGTTCAAAATACTAAAGTAATCTAGACAAGGTCTATTTCTTCCTCTTTACCCTAACTGCAATACCTTCTCTAGAGTGCTTTGAAAACCATGATGACAATGATTAATGATTCAGAGATACAACTCTACATTCGTTCCTATTCTACAATAATGATGCAGTAACTGCCAATGAGTGATAAATTCTAAGACAGGAAAAGCCACCCTCTGGGCACTTTTTCCCTTACCTGGGCATATCGTAAGAGTTTCTCAGTAGCTTCAGAGTCTTTGTTCCAGATGAGGTCTTCACAGAGCTGAAGAAGGTCCTTTTGGATATCATCATACACAGGGAGGTTGCCTGCATTGACTATCCCCATGTCCATACCAAACTAAGGGCAACACAAAGGAAAATGAGAATTTCTACTGACATCCTAAATCAGGGATCAGAGAAAAATACTTTATGACATAGCTGGTCACTATTCAACTCGGCTGTAGTGTAAAAGCAGCCCTAGGCAAGACACAGAAGGGATGAGGGCGCTCTGTTCCCCTGAAGCTTCATTTGGAGACAGAAGCAGACCAGTTATTTGGCAGGGCTCAGTCTGTAAACCTGCTGTAAGTCAAAGGATAGTGGCATCATTTTTGTTTAATTCTTTGAAAAATCTTGCATGTATTTATGACATACGTGCATATATTTGTGAGTGGGTAAACACATACCATGGCACATGTATGGAGGTCAGAGGACAACTCTGGGCATTGGTTCTTGACTTTCATTTTGTTTCATACGAGGAGTCTACTCACCACTGGACATGCTAGGCTAGATGGTGCTACAATCTTCTAAGGATTCTGTCTCCATCTCTCATTCTACAGTAAAAATTACTACTACACTAAGATTCATACAGGCTATGAAATTTCAACTCAAGTCCTCAGGCTTGTACAGCAAACACTATCCACAGAGCCATCTTCCCAGCACCTAAGACAAATTTGGTTTCACCATACCTTGATTGCATGGTAAAGGAAAACACCGTGCATTGCTTCTCGAATGGCTTCCATCCCTCGAAAGGAGAAGGACAAATTAGAAAGACCTCCACTTATTCTGACTCCTGGTAATGTTTCCTGGAAAAAGTGTAAAAGCATGAAACGATTCTCTTATCTTGTCAAAAGCCACAATCAGTCATATCTTATAAGCTATCTATACAGGAGAAGTAAAAGGAAAGTCCAAAGTAACTCCAAGCTTATTATTAAGCAAAGAACAGTTTGCTACATCACTATATCATGTACTCTGGTTCCCCTTTTATTACATAAAATCAATTACCTTTTACAGTGTCACTTCTAAGCACTGCTTCATAAATACCTTTTCCTATCAGACTTTAACCTGTTTAGGAAAAACATAAAATCCTATTTTATCTGACTACCTACACAGGAATTACAGAATGACCATAGTAAGGCATGAAAATGGGAGTTCTATGAAATATTTGCTGGAAAAATGACCAGAGAACAAAATATTATATGCATGTACCTACAAATGTACATATGCATACATCCCTGACCCATTCAAAGCTGGAAGTGTTCAATAACTTGATGAACAAACTCTTGAGTTCATCACAGACTTGACAAAATATAGAAGAACAAAGGCAGCTGAGATGCCTGTGACAAATAGCCATAAAAACAGTAACTCTCAGTTCAGGCTAAGTGTCCAGGGAGACAGTTTGCCATTGTCTAGCCATTCCACCCGTATGCTACAGAGGAACTCAAGCCTGTGTGCTTAACTAGAAGATATGAGCCTATTATGTCAGACTGATGCAAAAGTAATACTAGGTTTGCACTGCTGAGATTTGTTCCTTAATGTTGAAACACACTCTTGATAAGTTTATGTTAAATGCCATTTTAATATGCAGTCCTGCTTTATGGGTTTTTAACTAATGATTTCTTACTTACTATTTTAAATATTTACTTTATTCTATGCATGCCCACAGCTGGTACTGGTCAAAAGAAAATGTCCAGTTCTTCTCCATGGCATTATCTGACCACATGTCAAGAACTGGGCTATGGAGTTTTTGCCTTATCCACACAGTCACCTAGTCATTTGCCAACAGACTGCCATTTCTTAAAACATCTTGATAACTTTTTGCAGGGAAAAAAATTCCATAATCAGCAGGACAGGGGAAATAATTTCCAAGAGTTACTGAGTCCTGAAGCACTGACTTTAAAAAAAAAAAAAATACTGTTTATTACATTATTACATTTATTTATTTGGAATAGTACTCAGAGCTCAGGACACAACTTGGAGGAGTCAGCTCTCACATTCCCCTATCATATAGGACCTAGGGACTGAACTTAGATCATCAGGCTTGACTGACAAAAATGCCTTTACCTGCTAAACCATCTTCCAATGTGTAAAACACTGCATTTTTTTTTAAATGCTAAGAGAATTAAAAAATGTATTTCTCATTGGTAAAAACAAGTTAGTTATAATGGTGCCTATTTTGATTAATGAAGGTTTGTTTGAACCTAGTTGTGATTTAAAATTCATAATCTGAAACTGCAATTAATTTGGCACCAACCTAATACAAGAGTGTTCATAATTGTCCAACAGTGGAATGGCTAGTTGTGAAACAGGCAAATAATTATACACTAATAAACATGAACAAATATAGCTATAGCAACACAAATGAAATTTGAAATGAGGCTGAACTGGGCCTGGTGGCACTGGACAAAGTTGGGCAAGAGGCTGTTAAGTTTAAACCAGCCTAAGCTACACAGTGGGACCCAGTCCAAAAAAGAAAAAAAAGGCTGAATATAGAGAAAACAGCGTAAGCAATTTATGATTTGAATTATATCAAGAACAAAAAAAAGGCCAATTCATACTCTGACTCTCATGATTCCCTAATAGCTCTGTCCTCACAAGTAACATAGCAGCTGGCAGCCTCTGGTCACATGTTCATCTCATCAACATACAGCCTTGTTTTGTATGCTTGTTAAAAACATCCTAAGGGCTGGAGATGGCCAAGTGGCTAAGAGCACAAATTACTCTTATGAATAGACAACACTGCACCCACATTAGCTCACAACAACCTCTAATTCCAGTTCCGGGGAATCCAACACTCTTTGGCTTCCTTGGGCACTTGAATACATGTAGTACACAAAAACTCAAATAGGCACACATATATAAATAAAGATAAAAATACATAACTAAAGACACTTTATTTGGTATGCACATCTTAACTGTTAACACTGAATTTGTGGCCCGAAGCCCAGTGACATATGTCTGAATAAAGCATTTTCTCCACTAGGCACACTAGGCACCGGTGTCCTGCCCTTGTGACCACTAGAAAGCACTGCACCAGGACTGAAGGGCACTTTCAAACAGGAAAATCACAAACAAAAAGCAGAACAAGATTAACAGGCACTGAACAGAACTAACAAGACACTTGTTCACAGAGTAAGAGCTGTCTTCAAGGTCATCCTCATCTGAGGATGTGAGTCAAGCCTACACAAGGGCACATCCTTGGTTCACTATTAAAGCAGCTTAAGTACTGACTCAGGTCAAAACCAAATTTTAGAGTATATAGTGGCAAGCTCAAAAATCAATGGATATAATGCAAACTGAATATGCATATAAGTAATAAAATTATTAGCAAAAACAATAATGAAGTTTCAGAACCATAGATAACAGAATGAAAGTTACTTCATGAAATTGAGAATAAGGCACATCCAGAAGAGAGAAATATGGGGCAGTAGCCTCATGCCACTTCAGAAAAGTCAGTTACTATACAGTTTATCACTATTTATCTACCATAGACAACAGACTATGTTTTACATATTCTCATGTGTGTTACACACCACAATTAAAATAGCATTATATAAAAGATAAAAGTCCTTACATTTTAGAAAATGATTTACTAAGAATAGGAACATTACTATTCTCAGCAAATCAGTATGTGTCAGTTCTAAGCATGCACTAAACCAAGGGAATAAATTTGAGCTGCATCTTGGGTAAAGACGGAAAATACCCAGACTTACTTTAATGATTCTTGTTGCATGAATAAAATTGATAGCATACAAGTTATGTTCTTCCATTCCAGTACCAATGGTAAGAATGTTGGGGTCAAAGATGATGTCATTTGGATTGAAACCCAGTTTTCCTACAAGTAGATGGTAGGCTCGGGTGCACACACTGATTTTAACATCTGTTTCTGTTGCCTGAGAAACAAACAGAAATGTCATTTACAACAGAAAAGAAAACTGTAATCTATAGAAAGAGCATGTGTCACTTACCAAAACCACCCAGAACCTCAATGATGGTATTTCTTCCAAACCCAAATGTCAAACACATTAATCAACATATCTCAGAAAAGAATCAGTTAAAGACTTTGTTTTCAATATAACAATTTTATTCCTTATATAAAATTTTATAAATGATATATTAACAAAGTGGCTTTCTAATGTGGTTTAAAAATCAAACTCCACTAAAGATGGATTAAAAACTAAGCAACTGAGCATCACACCAGTCATTCTGGCACTTGAGAGGGTAAGGCAGAACTGTGGCATGTGGGGGCCACCCTGAGTTACATGCATGAGTGACAGGTCACTGTGTGCTAACAATGCGAAAGAATTCTTCAAAGTGTCCTGTTTCTCCTGACCTATCTATCTCCAATATGCCAACTACTCACACAAACAACACTGCTGTTGCTTTCTTGGGCCTTCCTTCAAGGCAGACACAAGACCATGCATTTATTTCCTATCTACCATAACACATGCTTGGTACCACATGCTCAAGTAGCAACTACAAATTAGTACTGGGCATAATAGCACACACCTTTCATTTCAGCACCTGGAAAGCAGAGACAAGTGGATCTCAGACACAGTTCAAAGCCTATATAGTGAGTTCCAGGCCAGCCCCCTGTTTCAAAATAAAAACAAAATCTAGAAAGATGGCTGAATAATCTAGATCAATTATTACTATTCCAAAGGACACAAATTTGGTTCCCAACACCATCAAGTAGGCTAACCACTTGAATTCCAAACGGCCGGACTTTCTTTTGGTCTGTAGACACTGCTTGCACATGGTGTACATATATCCATGCACATAAAATAAACAAAGTATCTTTTTAAAACCTACATGTTATCATCATCCTTCTTCTAAGCAGTATCCTAAAAAGCAAAACCCAAGATTCTGGCAAGGCTCACCCTCCCTGCTCCTCAGCCTACCGCACTCAGTCAGAGCCTCTGCCTCCACCACTGCCCCACGATTTGCCTTCACTCTTCACTACTTCTTTAATATCCCTAAAACCTGCTATGCTGTGGCTACCTAGGAGACTTTCCATTTCCATCTATTGCTGCCCAGCCCAGAACACACAAGCCTAACTGTACATCATGGTTCACAGGTGTAAAGTCAGTTGTCCCTTCAGTCTCCCTCCAAATCAGCATACCCCCCCACCCTGCCCACCTCCTCCTTTCCTTGAGGCATTTCTTTTCAGATATCTTATTATTCATGGTTGTTTTAATATCTATTATTATCTCCACTAGCTATTACGACAGTCTTACTGATCTCCAGGGCTGGAAATAAAGACACCACCACTTCTGGCACACAACCCTTATTTTAATCAGTGACTCCTGAGCACAGGATTGGTGATGCTGACAAGCAGAATAACCAATCAGAAGCTATAAAGCACTATCTGTGAGTAAAAATGTCAAAAATATAGGAAGGTATTTTGAGAAAAACTGACAGTACAGTATAATGTTAGTTCATTTTTTTACTGATCCTAACCTAAAACTTTACTACCTAGGAATGCATGTGCAGGTACAAGTACAGTGTGGGTAGTATAGGACAGGTAAGGCTACATTACTGGGTATGCTATCACTCCATAAGATCACATAACAATCATGAGGGTCAATTCTAAATCAATGTGGAAAAAGATATTCTTGAAACATGATTAATCCCACTGAAATACAAAGCAGCCTGCATGGTGGGAGGATCCCACACTTAGGAGGGGAGCATTAAGGCTACTGAAGAAGTGGTTCTGACCAGATGCTTTCTGAACTTCAGGAGGCTAGCTTCAGTAACTTCACATGGTTGGAAAAATAAAAAAGCACAATCTGAAGCCAGGCAATGGTGACGCACACCTTTAATCCCAGCACTTGGAAGGCAAAGGCAGGAGGATCTCTGTGACTTTGAGGTGAGACTAGTCTACAAAGCAAGTTCCAGAAAAGGCAGGCTACATGCAGACAAAGAGGGAGGGAGTGGGGAGGGAAGGGGAGGGAAGAGGAGGGATAAGGAAGGAAATTAAAAAAAAAAAGCACAGCACAGCACAGTCTGATCATTTCTATCTGAGCCAACTTGGGCACTGTATAGAGTGGGGTGCAGCTCTGTGGCAAAAACAGCACAGACATGCTCCTACAACAGGAATTCACTTCCAGGGCTAGAGCAACTACACCACGCCTTCCATACAGACACTTGTCAAATTGTTCTCATGACATCTGACATAATCTCTGCCCCAAGAGCAGTCCTTAGATTCTGGCACCAAGTAAGAAATAGATCTCAGAGTGAGGTCTGAAAGAGGCTGCTGTCGGGAGCAGGCCCTATCTTGCATCATGTTTGGTACTGTAAAACACACATGCTGGTAAGCCTCAGTCACCCTAAGAGATTTCAGACCCATGTGAAGCTCAGCAGAACAGGATGGAAGATTCATCAATTAGGCAGCATTCTCAGCTAGCTATGAGGGGCTTTTATCTGTTTGTTTCATAATAATTGTACCCTAAGCCAGCTGAATCAGAATCCAGGCTGGCTCCAGCAATTCAGGAGCCTTTAGTGATTGATGTTAATGTCCAGCCAACACTGAGATTTGATTCCTCTTAGATAGTTATTGATAATCCTACTCTGCAGATATTAAGGTCTGGTGGGGGCAAAGGGACACTTAACTCTCAATCAGGCAGAGAAATGGCAGGAGTGTGCTAGAAGCTGGAGCACTGAGCTTGGGAAGTATATCGCCTATAGGCTCTGCTCTTCTTCCTGTGTGATGGTCACACTGAAGGACCGAAGAAAAGAGGCTCTTCATGTCCCTGCCATGAAAATTACCTCTCAAGTTCAGAGATGCCAGAACAATAAGTGTGACATCAGCTCACCTTCTCTAAGCTAAAAGTCCACGGAAAACAAAAGCCTCCAGTCTTCAGTCTCCCGTTTTTATAAACCTATTCTGCCCACAAAATCCAAGATACTCAATTAGAAAACAGTATCAGTTTATCCAAATTCAATGACAGAATTAAAACAAACAACAAAAACCATAGCAACCGCCACATAATCAGCCTACTAAGTAGCCATCCAAAGTCCTGCTAGAAGACTCCCAAGAATTCTTCAAGAAATTCAAATGACAGAACTGAGTAGTTGTTTAGCGTGTCCAAGACAACAGATTTGATCCCCAACAAAAAAGGGAAGGAGGGGAGATGGGGACATGGGTAAAGCTGTGTGGACTAGGGTAGAGGATGACAGGAAAAACAACTGACCTATGTGCTATCCCCACTGGGTATACAAACTAAGGTCCAATGTAAATTAATGATAACCATCTTTCTTTGGTACTCTTTTGGAATTATTTCAATTGTTTTCAAGACAAAAAAAAAAATGCCTCTTGTATAAAAATAGTAACATTTTGATCAAAACAATTTTATTTCAAATATACAAAAATATAAACAGTATCACTTACAGTCAATATACCCCATGGCAGACTATCCTATTCTAATTGATACCTACCAATTTTTTTCTGTTTACATAGACTCATATAATATCCACATGAATACTTCCTGTCAATTACTTCTTCACATGATCCCATCATCACATTCTTTTTTAACACTTCAAGTTATCTTATGTGCATATACCAAGACTTATATGCATTCTTCAAGTAATGGGTGTCTGTGTCAATTTCTGACTATCACAATCCTACAACGGAAGTGAGCACATAGCCGTACATATACAACCAATCTTAAGATCTCAGGAGAGGCTTCACCATAAGCACTGGTTCCTACTTATGGATTAACTGCTGATTAACTATCCATGGACACTTAGGTTCTTCTGAAAGCTAGCTATATGACCTATGAAGGGCAGCACTGCAGTACACTGTATATGTATTTCCTGGGGAGATATCATTCATGGCCTCGACCTGGCTCTGCAGCACAGGTGTGAGCTGTCACTTATCAATCTTGTCATGTTGTTTGTTTGATGAAAGAAACTAATTACTGCTTCATTATTTCCTTAAGCATTAGGGATCTCAGTATCTTCACAGGCTTGCTGTGTATTTGTATTCTTATGATAGTTGCCCATTCATTCCTCTGTTCATTCTATTATGGGCATTCTGTTCTCTGACATACAAAAACTACATAAACTTACTAATAAGACCATACCTTCTGCCACATAAACTTTTACATTTCTATGTGAATAGATTCATCATTTTTTCTCTCATATCTTGAGATCAGCAACAGCTTCTACCTGAAAATCTTAATGATCTATACATTGTTCGGAATTCTTTCAATAATTTTTTTTATTTTATTTTAATATATAGTAAGACATGGAGCTAGTGCTGAGTGGTGGGACTTTTAAGAGGTGCCTAGCTGGGCTAGAAAGATTGTTTGCAGGTAAGAGCACTTGCTGCTCTTACAGAGAACCTAGGTTTAATTCCCAGCATTCACATGGCAGCTCACAACCATCCTTAACTCTAGATCCAAAGGATCCGACATCCTCTTATGACAACTATGAGTACCAGGCATGTGTATGATGCAGACAAAACACGCATACACATAAAATAAAATGAATTTAAAAATGGAAGAAAAGTGACTAGGTTTGAGGGCTCTTCCTTCTAAGATATGTAATGTTGTCATCAAAGGAATGGGCTCACTGCCAAAAAGTGGATTGATTGTTTGTTTGTTTGTTTTTTCGAGACAGGGTTTCTCTGTGTAGCCCTAGCTGCCCTAGAACTAGCTTTGTAGACCAGGCTAGCCTTGATCTCACAGAGATGCACCTGCCTCTGCCTCTTGAGTGCTGGGATTAAAGGGGTTTGCCACCGCCATCGGGCTTAAAAAGTGGGTTTCTGATAAAAGCAAGTCCCACCCTTTCTCGCTCTTCCTCACCTTTTCTCTGACCCCTCACTAAAGGGCAAAGCAGCCAAAAAGCTCTCAATATTTTAGCCTCCATATCTGTGAGCCAAGTACATTTATAGTATTTAAAACTTACTAATTCTGTGGTTGTGGTGGTCTGAATGAGAATAACCTCCATAGGCCCATATAGTTGAATGTGTCGGAAGAACTGGGAAGGACTAGGAGGCAGGGCCTTGTTAAAGGAGGCATATCACTAAGTGTGGGTTTTCAAAAGGGGGGACCTGTCTGCTGCCAGCCTCCTTACCATGAAAGACATGGCCTCCATCCAATCCTTTGTAACCATGAGCCCCAAACTAACTGATTTCTTTTTAAGCTCCTTTGATCATGGGTGTTTTGCCATACAACAGAAAAATAACTAAGACAATGGTATTCCACTACAGCAGCACAAATGAATTAAGTCAGGGCTCTTTATTTATTTATTTTTCTTCCAAATGTAAAACCAGCTGTGTATCCCAACAACTCAGTGAATAATTCAACCTTTCTCTACTGGTGTAAAGACTATACAACATCCTATTTCCAGAAGTATATTATGAACGTATGTGTAAATCTGGACATGTAGCTATCTCAGCCCTGGTTTTCTCCCTCTGCTTTCTCACCTGGGTGACAACAGTACCAGGCCTACAGAAACCACTTACCTGTCCTTCCTCATCAAAAGCCATGACTACCACAGCAGCTCCAAACTTCTTAATCTTCCTGGCCTTCTCCAAGAAGTCCTCCTCGCCCTCCTTCAGACTGATGCTATTGACTATGCACTTCCCTTGGCAGCACTTCAACCCCGCTTCAATCACAGCAAAACTGGAAGAGTCAATGCACAGAGGCACCTGGGACAGAAGAACACAAAGATCACAGGTCACAAGTCGCCACAAGTCCCCACTGAATGGTTCCAAAAGAACCTCTTTCTTTAGGGACAACAAATAAATTTGGGATATTAAAAATAAGACTTTAATATACTTATGAAGCTTACATTCAAATATTTAGAGTAAGATCAGCTCACAAGAGAATATGTACATGGGCCAGGTTTTATAACTCAAAGGCAGGGAATCCAAGAGAACAGTTCATAGGCTTAGGCCTAGTGTACACTTCCAAGCACTGAAACCCTAAGGCAAACAAACACCTTCTCTAGTTTTCAAACATTCTACCCACACTCATATTAAGGTTGAGCCTCTTGCTCTTTGGAAAGATTCCTCTAGACAAGGTACTCATATTAAAACCTCTTTATAAAAACAAGTTTCTGAGGAAAAAAAATTATCAAGAAAAACAGACCTAACTCCCCCTTTCCCAAATAGTAATATAGCTAATAACCAAAAACAAACAACTAAAATGAACCTCTGCTCCAAGACAGGTGAAAGGAGTGATTCACTGCTACAAACAAATACGGTAGGATACCTGACTTAGAACTGTTATTTAGGGCAGTCAGTCAGTAACTGATTCCCTTCCTCGAAGGCAAACAGGTCCTTTGGTTTCACTATGCTTAACAAGATAAATGTTTAAACAAGTAAGGACAAAAGTACAGGACAATACAAAGAGCAAGGAGGCTAGGGGTGGGTCTGTCTCAGCAACAGTCTGACGTGTGAGATCCCAGTTTTGCTTCCCAATACCACACACCCACACCCACACCCACACCCACACCCACACCCACACCCACACACACACACACACACACACACACACACACACACACAGGAAAAATTATTGTTTTAAAGGGGGAGTTGGAAAGGGGAGGTTAGGAAAGTAGCACTGTTGGCAGAGCACTTGCAGAGGTCCTCAGTTCATAAACTGCTGACACAAGCCTAGTCCTGGCACTTGGAAGATGGAGCCAGGAGAATAAGAGGTTCAAGGCTATCCTCAACTACATAGGGATTTCCAGGCCAGAGTAGGATGTAAGATACTATTTAAAAACACAAGGATTCTTCCAATTTTGCTTTTCTTAGCACACTAGTACTAAAGAGGTTTACCCCCAAAAAAGGATCAAATGCATTGGCAGTAAGTACCAGACCAGTGTCTGAAAGAGCAGACAAATAATGTGTTTTTCCAACTCTACTGGTGAAAATGTACTACTCATATTTTGGGTCTTTAGAGTCTTGGGGTCCCATTACGTAACCTAGGCTGGTCTCCAATTGTGATGTTCCTGCCTTAACCTCTCTGCTTAGCAGCACATTTTTATATTCTATCCTAATGACTAAAATTGGGCCTCCAGTAAATTTTATTTAGCTTGTTTGTTTTTCCAGACAAGGTTTCTCTATGTGCTGTCCTGGAACTCATTTTGTAGATCAGGCTGCCCTCAAACTCACAGAAGTTAGCCTATCTCTACCTCCTGAGTACTGGGATTAAAGGATGCCCAATCTCCAATAAATTTAATATTCCATTAAAACCAAGAAAGAAAGGTGGTTCGCTGCAGCGGTCACAGCACTGAGTTAGTTACAAGTCACCATCATAATTCACGTACTGAGCACAGCGGGTCTCATCACCTCACCTTAGAGATGAGGAAGGGTGTGCTTGGCTCTAGGGAGACCCAGACTTCTTTTCCCCAGCTCTGATTCAGGCTGACTCTGAACAGACCAGAGCTGCTCTGAACCTGACAGTCTGAAAAGATTTACTCCTAGAAAACTGGTAGGGCTTTCAATAAGTTTAAATATGCAAATGGATGATGGGTAAATACAACCTAATGCTTACTGCAGGCTTCTCATAAGTAAGTTCTTACTAAAGCCTAATTTTAAAAAGAAAAAAAAAAAATCAAACTAAAGATATGCAACTCTGGGGACAGTTTCTTTAAAAGAAAAAATTCTTAAAATTCCTTCGGGGCATGGTGGTACACACCAGGGTAGATACAGCTGGAATCCAAGGTCAGCCTTGGCTAATAATGAGTTTGAAGCCAACCATGGCTCCTACACTAGGCAAACCAAAAAAAAGTTTAGCTTGAACCCTCTGAAACATTCTAAAAGACTGATTCAACACAGGTAGGCAGCTCTTTGCAAGTTTTAGGTCAGCCAGTACTACACAGTAAGACCCTGCATAAAAACAAACAAGCAAATTTTTTATTATTATTTTTAAATGTGTCAGTCTGGGGATCTGTACACACAGATGCAGGGTCTGTCTGGGGGTCTGTACACACAGATGCAGGTGCCCATGAAGACAGGAGGAGTTGGATCCCCTAGAGCTGGTGTTAATAAGCAGTTGTGAGCTGCCAGAAGTGCAGGAAACTGAACCTAGGTCCTCCACAGGACAGTACAAGCTTTTAATTACTGAGCCATTTCTCCAACCCCTAACTTTCCCCTTTTGAAGAACAGTATAAACACTGGCAGGATACCTTGCGTTAACCCTGTTAGATATCACTGTCTTAATCTGATAGGCCAAACATTAAGGAAGCCCTCACTGAACTCCATTCCCATGGTAGGAATAGAATCAGTGTGGCAGCAACAGCTTAGTGCATCCCTCTGAGATACAACAATCAACTCTCAGGCTGCAGACAATGGACAAAACTCAGTTCTTTTGAAGCCTACTTTTCCAAGACGCCTGTCAACAGCCAAGCCCAATCACTGTCTAAAATCTGCTTCAGGTGGAATAGACTTCGTATTATAAGAAGCTCAGATTCAGAAACAACAAAACAATCGATGTAGGAAAAGAGAAGAAGTTCCTGAGTAGACAGAGAGATAAAGCTAAATAAATATATGACAGCAACTGGGTAGACCCACTTGATGATTATAAACCTTGTACAACCTTGGCGATGTCAGGCTCAGAGGCGATAAAGTTGCAAAATCTGGTCATTGCACTGGGACCATCCAGCATGCCATCATCCATGTTGATATCTAGCACCTGAGCTCCCATTTCCACCTGTACTTTGGCAATGCTCAGGGCTTCCTAAAGGAGGAATGGGACAAGTATGGTTAAAGACAATGACTAGGAAGAGTGATTTTCCTCCCACCCTCAGAGGTCCTTTGTTACTGAAACAGAAGACACGTTGGCTCTCTGACTCTGGGCTTGTCTCCTATTCCCCAACACTCAGGTACACTATTTGCCCTTTCCACAAAGCATCTCACTGCTTGGAGTCCACCAAAGTAGCTCCCTACCATAAAGGATCCAAACTCCTGAGCCTCTAAGCCTACGACCCCTTCTCACCTGAATGTCTTTCTTGGTTGACCCTCACTGGACACTCTACCTAGCCAAGTGCCACCTCTATGCCACAGATCACATAATGTCTTGTTAGCAATATAATCCCCTTCCCCTTAAACCTAGCTCAAGTCTAGCTCCTTCAAGAAAGGTCTTTAGAGCAGCCATCACTCAATTTACTCCTTCAAAGTTTCCCCACATAAAGATTTTGTAAAGATTAGTTTTTATGCATATAAACGTATGCCTGTATGAGTTTATGCCATCTGCATAAAGGTGCCCATGCAAGCCAGTAGTGAGTGTAAGATGCCCTGGAACAGGAGTACAGGGGGAAGTAAGGTGCTTTTGTGGCTTATGTGGGGGCTGGGAACCAAATGGGCTGTCCTCTGCAAAAGCAGTACATAGTCTCAGCTGCTGAGCCATCTCTCTAGGCCTTTAATGACATTTTCTAATGTAATATTGCATTATAGCTTTGTAACCCAACAAATGAGCCAAGGCAAAATCAATAACAGATGCTGCTGTAGCCTGGTTTTTCTTTGCTCCCACCCCCCAAAAAATAACCACAAAAGGAATTTTGTCATTCACTTTGATAAAACAGGGAGGAACAAATCTACAGAGAAAAAGGAAACAAGGATAAATAAGAGCTCCATTGAACAACACTCCCAGCCCAAAGGATCATTGAAAGTACAGATTACAAATGGCTTCCAGGGCTAACGGACCCCCCCAGACTGATAGCTGGGAAGCCAGCATGGGACTGACTCAGGTCCCCCTGAATATGGGTCTCAGCCAGAAGGACAGAGCAATCTAAGGGACCTCAGACAGTGGAACCAGGATGTATTCCTGGTGCACAAAAGGACCTTGCGGACACATCCCCCATGGAGGGATACTGCCTTAACCTAGAGACAGGAGAGAAGTCCTAGCCCCTACTTCAAATGACTTGACTGATTTACATGACCCCACCTGGATGACATTGCCCTACATGTGGGATTGGGGTGGGGGGATGAGAGGGGAGGGTGGTCAGGGTGCATGTGAGGGGGCAGAGAAGGTAAGATGGAGGAAGGGAGGGAGGGGGGAGAACTGGGATCAACATGTAAAATAAAAAATAAATAAATAACAAAAAAAAAAAAAAAAAAAAAAAGGCTTCCAGGCTGGGCACGGCAGCATATACCTTTAATTACAGTACTGGGGAGGCAGAGGTAGGTCTCTGAATTTGAGACCAGCCAGGAATACACAATAAGACTGTCTAAAAATAGAATTTCAGGTGCTTAGGCTGCAGCTTGGTGGTAGTGCTTATCTAGCACACTCGAGGCCCTAGATTCAAGAGTGAGAGTGTGTGAGTGTGTGTGTGTGTGTGTGTGTGAGAGAGAGAGAGAGAGAGAGAGAGAGAGAGAGAGAGAGAGGGGGAGAGAGAGAGAGAGAGAGAGAGAGAGAGAGAAGAGGGGTAGCAGGGCAGGGAGAAAGCTGGGGCTGCAGCTCAGTGGTTAGAGCACTTTGCTTAGCAAGCATGAGGTAGTGGGTTCCAGCCCCAGTACAGGGGGAAAAGGGATGGTTTTTAGTATCAGGGATGATTTAATAATAAAAAAAGGTGTGTCCCAACCCCTGTTCTTGAAGTGCTTATATGTAGCTAGAGGCACACAACACTGTCACATTGAGAAACAACACAAACAAGCACAAGATTATCTGAATCGGAGATGAACCCTGACCAATTTTTACCATGGTGGTGAATCCTGAGAGGGAAAGTCTTTGTCCCACCAATGGAGGAATAGATTGGAGGAACCAAAGAGGAGACAGATGTTATCAACAGACATTCCAAAAACCCAGGAAACAGAAATGCCAGTATCTGGCCTACTTGAGTCACAGCGCAAGTGCCTGAAGGTAGAATGCTCCCCATTAGCTCAGGGTCGTGGTGGCATTCCTTTAAGAGCAAGATCAGATCTAACACTGCCCTACCAGTACTCTCCCCTTCAAAGCACAGGGCCTTAAGGTCACTAAAGTCAGGGAAATCTACATTCTATGAAGGACTGACTCATCTACCCATCCTGTGTGCCCCACCCCCACTTCAGCAGCATCTTCCCCTAGGCAGAGACCACAGGGCAGTTAAGTACATGGACTTCAAGACTTTCTTCTATCAAACCTATGTAACAACAGACTAATAATTTTAACCTCCCCAACTCTCCATTATCCCATCTGTAGAAAGGTGAGAACACACAGTTTGACATCATGGGACTGTGCAAGCTCACTGAGGATATAATATGCTTAGCACAGTTGACTGGGCACATCATAAGAATCTCTTAGTATTATGCCTAACTGTGTACCTCCTCCTAAAGCAATCCCTGCCCACGCTAACAAGCCCATCAAATCTCAATGCTGAAATGGATATCCAGAGAACAGACAAAAGAATATAAGTACAAGTACCTCTGCCAACTGACAAATACCATCTGACTATTGAGGGACACAGCACTTCAAAAGGTGCAAGCAAGAGCCAAGGCATGACAGCAGAGCAACCCTCCAGCATGCTCAGAGAGCAATCAAGATGGTGAGGTACAGGTGGAGAGGGCAGAATGGCAGCCTCAAGAAGTTGAACAGCATCCTATTCCCTGTTCACAGAAAGCACTTTCAAATCTGGAGGGCAAGCAAGATGGAAGCCCGTGGCACCCCCCAGCAGCAACAAGACAAAAGGGAAGAGCAGCAGGCAGCCACACCTGCACTAAGCAAGACAACAGGGGATGCAAGGAAACAGTGGTTAGCAGTTCCACAAGGATGACATATAAATGGGTTGTTTGTGCACGACTAAAAACTAAATCTAAGCTGGGCATATTAGTGACCCACATCTTAAATCCCAGCAAGCCGATCACTTTGAGTTCAAGGCCAGCCTGGTCTACATAGTGAGTTCCAAGACCCAGAGCTACTTAGTAAGACCCTGTCTTGTGGGGCAGGGCACCTAAATCTATAGACTATAAAGATGGCCCAAAGGGTAAGGGCACTTAATGCACAACCATAGGACCTGGATTCTGATCCCTGCACACATCTAACAAGCCATGCTTCCCACAGAATGCCTCTAACTTCAGCTCTAAGGGAGTCAATGCCCTTTTCTAGGTGTCATATGCCCACACACATGTGCATAAACTCACAATACACGCACAAATAAAATAAGTATATTTTTAAAATCCTACAATCTATTCAGATCCTGAAATTAAAAAAAAATCATTAAATTACAAAGGGCAGTGAATGTGCTTGATACCAAACTGACAACCTGAGTTTGATCCCCAAGAAATAAACTTGGAAGGAGAGAATCAACTTGTTGTCCTCTGACCCCTACATGCATTCAGTGGCTTGCACATGAACATTCAGGTATGCATACATACACACTTCAGCGCGTGCACGCACGTGCACACACACACACACACACAAAGAGACAGACAAAATAATTTTTAAAAAAATATTTTTTAAGACAGGATCTCACTGTGTAAACCACGCCAGCATGAGTTCATAGACCTCTGCCTGTCTCTGCCTTCCAAGTGCTGGGATTAAAGACATGTACCACTATGCCCCAATTTAAAAAAAGGAAAAAGAAAATGTAACATGAGAAATAACACAGAGGTAGATATTAGGATTCTCAAGCTTCAAGCTGAAGATCAGAAAAAGCGAAGCAGCTGAGCCACTAGCTCTTACCTCTAGCGCAGCTGAAAGAGCTGATACTGGCTCTACCAAACCCCAGACTGCTGCCTCTCCTCAGCGGGGCTAGAGAATCCTGAGACTCCGTGTCTTCCTATTCTCAATGTGGCTGGAGAATGAATGCCAGCTCTGAAGCCTTGCTCCTGTCTTATATACTTCCCTCATGCTGGGATTAAAGGCATATGATCCCAGGTGCTGGGATCAAAGACTCATGTGAGCTTTGTTACTCTTCACTCTGTGTAGGCCATGGTAGTCTTGAAATAACAGAGATATGTCTACCTCTTAATCCTGAGTCCTGGAACTAAAGGTGTGTACTGCCACTGCCTGATCTCTATAGCTTGAGGCTGACTTTGCTTTCTGAATCCTCAGGCAAGCATTAATAAATCATAAATAATGTATCACCACAAATTTTGTTTTGTTTTGTAACAGAATTTCTCTGTGTAGCCTGAACTGTCCTGAAACTCACTTTATAGGCCAGGCTGCCTCCTCAGGCTGGGATTAAAGGTGTGCACTACCACCACTGGGAAAGGGGGGAGTGGGGTGTCACAGGAAAAAAAAAAGAAAACCTCAAACCATCTTCCTCTATTTCTATTTCATTTTTGCAGAAAAGTAAAATCTATCCAAATGTCTTGGGCATGCTCATTTACAGTATTACAAAGCTTACAAATCAGATTTCTCAAGGCAGGGGCCTTTCATTTTGCTCGGACCTACAGCTGTCAGGGTCAGCAATACCTTCCTCAGTAAGGATCTGATGTGCCAGATGAGTAAGAATTCTCTTTGGGAGGGGCAGAGATGACTTGGTAATTAAAAATACTTCCTGTTACCAGGCAGCGGTGGTATACAACTTTAATCCCAGCAATCAGGAGGCAGAGGCAGGTGGATCTCTGTGAGTTTTGAGTCCAGCCTAACCTAAAGAGTTGAGTACCTGGACAGCCAGGGTTATATAGAGAAACCCTGTCTTGAAAAATAAAGTAAAAAAATAAAATACTTGTTGCTCTTGTAGAGGGCCCGGGTTTAGTTTCCAGCACCAACATGGAATTTCACAACCACCTATAACTACATCTCCTAGGGGTCCAATGTTCTCTTCTGGTCTCTGTGGACACCAGAGGTACACATACATTCATGTAAACAAAATGCTCATACACATAATATGTAATTTAAAACAGTGGGATTCCCTTGGCTTTCACCTGTAAAACTGCTTTTAAGAAGCCAGGATGAACAGTATTCCCAAATATCCAAACTTATTGAACGATCAACAACTAGAAGGTGGATGCTGCCCAGTCATCTTACTCCATGCCCCATGTAATGATTTCTGACCAGTAACAACAACAGCAGCTTCAAGTCTTCAAAGCCTTATCATCACAGCAGCCCCACCCACTGCCAGCAACATCCTCACATACTTCCTAGCAGCTCTGTAGTAGCACCAGCCAGAACAAACACACTGGCATGTATTCTATCCAGAGGCATGGCAATGCCTAGGGGGTCTCACTAGGATGCTCACATCATAGTTTCCTGCCATGATGAGTTTAGCAAACTTCTTGGATCCTGCCACGTTACAGCGCTCTCCAATGTTAACGAAGTTGGTGTATGGTCCAATCCTGAAGGGCTCTAGACCTTAAAAGGAGGAACATTTTGAAAATTTCTTGAAAATGCACATGGATGAAATGAAACAAACAAAATATTTTCAGCAAGAATCAAAGCCCATTTAAGTGGATGGGACAGATCTGACAGGGAAACTGGGTCACACTCTTCTTTTCTGAACATTGAAAGGCTACTTGTTTCAAATGCACTTACAACTAGATCTCCCAAGAACAGAAACACATCAAAGCTCTGTGGTGCAAATAACCATTGGGGGCTGAACTACAGTCTCTGAAAAGAAAACGTCACCATCATTCCTATTTAACTAAGACTCTGAGGCAAAACCATGAAGAACCTTCAAATCAAAAAAAGATTGAGCTTGAGTAGGTCTTATGCATGCTGCCACTGTTGTGGCTTAATATGTACAACAAACCTGCTGTGTCTGGAAAAGCCTGCTTCTTGATACTACCCAGACCTTCTGACAGTTTTAGTCTTTCCCCTGAAAATCCCTAAGCATTGGGAGAGGAGCATGTTATGGCACAAAATCCACCATGAGCTGAGAAGCTATTGACATCTGAAAACTGCTGAGAAGTAGGTAAACAGGAAGGAAGGGAAGGGAAGGAAAATAGAGTGTGTCACTTTTCTTTTCAAAACCCATGTGCAGCCAGGCAACAGTAGCACATGCCTTTAATCCCAGCACTTGGGAGGCAGAGGCAGGTGAAATCTCTGAGTTCTAGGCCAATCTGGTCTACAGAGTGAGTTCCAGGACAGTCAAGGCTGAACAGAGAAACCCTGTCTCGAAAACAAAACAAAAACAAAAAAAAGGAGTCAATTAGTGTGCAATACCAACTGGACTTGGAAACCTGGTCGTACAGTAGTTTGATGTAATTGAACTCTATAAGCTCACAGGGAGTGGTACTATTAGGAGGCTTTGTTGGAATGGTGTGGCCTTGTTGGAGAAGTGTGTCACTGTGGATACAGGCTTTCTGCTTTCCTATGCTCAAGATACACCTAGTGTCTAAGTTCACTTCCTATTTCCTGTGGATCAAGATGAAGAATTCTCTGTTCCTTCTCCAGCACCATATTGCCTACATGCTGTCATGTCCCACCAAGATGATAATGGGCTAAACCTCTCAACTGTAAACTAACCAGTTAGATGTTTTCCTTTATTAGAGTTGCCATGGTCATGGTTTCTCTTCACAGACCCTAACTGAGACAGGGAGAAGGCTGAAAATTAAGTAGGGAGGGATAGCAGAGTAGTTATTGGAAGAGTAAATATGTTTAAAATACATTGTACAAAATTCTCAAAGAATAAAAAAATATTGTAAAAATAAAAACTAAAAGAAGGATTGTTGGCCAGGCAGTGGTAGCACACTCCTTTAGTCCCAGCATTTGGAATCAGGTGGATCTCTGTAAGTTCAAGGCCAGCCTGGTCTACAAAACGAGTTTCAGGACAGCCAGAGTTACAAGAGAAACCCCTTCTTGAAAAAACAAACAAAAAGGATTGTTGAATCAAACATGGTGATTCACGACTATAATCCCAGAGCTCTGTATCTTGTAGGATTTTGAAGCCAGGATATGCTATGTTGCAAAATCCTATTTAATTTTTTTTTTCTCCATTGTTGTTTTATCAAAAATTAGCTTGCAGCTGAATGGAGCAAATATCTTCACCCCATCAACAGTGAATGAGGAAGGTCACTGTAACAGTGAATGAGGAAGGTCATTCCATCTCTTGCACTGAGAGACCATGAACCTGAAACTAGCACTTCCAAAATGGATGATGAGGGAGGACCCAGAAGGGGATCCAGGAGTCACTGTGACAGGTCTTCCAGCATAAGGTACCCAGGGCAGGCCAATGGGCTTTTGGCACAGTATTGTCTTATGTGCTAAGGAGTAGCAGCATCTTTCCTGGCACAGACTAATTCAGAGGGCAATTATCAGATAATACATGTAGGTACATTACATTCAGGTAAAAGCAACAAAGAGTGTGAAGTGACTGTAGAAAAGGTTGTCAAACTGTGTTTGTTTTTAAAGTATTACAAGAAGCAGTCTCCCTAAATAGCCACAAAAAGGTTCTGGAGACACATTGGCCTTGAATTCATCACTTGCATGATCACACTACTTGAGACAACTGCCCACACAACCTTTCTGCTTACAAATCAGGTATAGTCTCTACCTTATTACCATAATAATGAAGCACAAAATTACTATCAACTATTAGAGCTGTCATTAAAAAAAGAAAATGGCCTTTGAGACCGTTGCCAAAGCATTATATGAAGAAACTAGTATGAGCAAGAGGAAGATTATGAATGAGCTGGGTAATTATACAGACATTCCAGGACATCTGTTCACAGACTCAGGAAGCAATCACTTCCTACAGTTTCAGGTTCTGACTTTTCTCATAGCTAATGAGCCTTGTGCCCCTTACCTTTCACATAATCTAGAAGTTTATGTACCAGACAAATAAAACACTATATGCTGAGGGTGCTTCTGTGATCTAACGGCATCTACAAAGTGCTTCTGATCTAGCAAGAAGGACGAATCAGATACAGAAGCAGTACTTTTCTTAGATACCATTTATACACAAGTTAACAAAGTGTTTTTCAGATTGGACATGGTGGCATATATGTATAATCCAAGTACTGAGAAAGAGGAGACAAGAGGATTGTTAGTTTGAAGTGGCCTTTGGCTATATAAAGAGATCTGTCTTAATATACCACCATTTCAGGAAAAAAATAAAATAAAAAAGCCAGGCATGGTGATGCATACCTGTAATCCCAATACCCAGGAAACAGAGGCAGGTGGATCCCTGTGAGTTTTGAGTTTGAGGCCCATCTGGTCTATGCAATGAGTTCCAGGACTTCCAGGGCTACATAATGAGACCCTGTCTCAAAAACAAAAGAAAGGGAAGGAACGAAGGAAGGAATGAAGGAACAAAAGAAGGAAGGAAGAACACACAGAAAATAAATATACAAGTAATTATAAAGCCCCAAACAAATGGCAAATATAAGGTTCTAATCTATAAGATTTGGAAGCAAATGAAATGTTCCAGGAGGACGCTGTTGCCATTACAAAAGCACTAGGCCTCAGCCAGTTGGAATTTTCAATAATTCCTATCAACTAACCATTAAAATTGTTAGACAAGGGACAAAGGTATGCCATCACTGTGCAGCAACAAGCCCACAGTACATGAGCAAATCACCCAGCCTTTCTTCATTTTTACCTTGAAATCAATCTTTCTACCCCTTCCCTAGAAAAGAGTTCTTCAGTAAAATTTTCCTAAGTGCCAAAAAAAAAAGCATTCTTCTTTGATATAATAAGCTTCCTGGCATAACTATCACTACCACTTAGATATATGCACATTAAATACATCTTACAAATGGCTTTTAAATCCAAAACTACATCCAAAACTTACCAGATAGTAACATATGTCCTTCAAAAACACTAGCAGGTGGAACTCTAGGCTTACAATTTTTCACCGCTTCAGCAATTTCCCTAAGTTAAAAGAGAAAACATGATATTCATTAATTCAGAGTAACATAAATGTAATTAAGCTAATTTCCAGCAATCAAATCATCTGCATCAATATACCCATGCACATAATGATATGCCTACTTACATGCACATCAGCAGTTACCCCTCAGTTTCCTCAGAAACAGAAAACTCATCAATGCTGGCTATGCTGTTTCTACCATCATAGACCCAAGCCTAGAGCTGCTGTGTGAGGTCTGCACAAATACAAAACACAAACCTCTTTCTCTTCCCCCAGCCCACAAACAGCCTTTACAAACCCACAAACATGTCCTTGCTAATCCACTTCAAAAAGTCTGTGGTTATAACATATAACAGTAACTTTGGGGGAGGGGTTGCTGGCAATGGGGAGAGGATGGTCCCATGTACTCAACTAGGAAAAGACAGAGAAAAAAAGCACAATTGCCCCTCAAAATGTTTTTCAGTTATCCAGTCTCTTTAACATTGTCAACTTTAATGAATCATAGGTTTGATAAACCATAAAAATCTAGCTTTCTCTATCTATCAGGCCTTTAGGTACTGTCCTCTCTGTTGTCCCCAAATCAGTATGTAGATGACTTAAGTAAAAGCAGGAGTGATACAGAGAGGTATAGATATCAACATATACATTCACAAGTTAAAACAACTTCTCTTTCTAAGGAGGAAGGGAAGTAAAAAATGAAGAGTCAGTCTGTGACCCAAAGATAAAATACTTCAACTGCTGATGAAGATATAACAAAAAAGATGTATAAAAAATAGGGATGTGCTAGAGTAGATGCTGAGTATATACAAAACTCTGATAAATAGGTAATAACTTTATAGTTATTAAGAGTCTATCATGACAGACTTAGACTTCCTAGGGGAAGCTTTATGGGCTTTACCCTCTCTGAGGAGCAGATGGGAGGAGGGCAGAAGTGGGGAGTGGAAGTAAGGGAAGGAGGGGAAACTGGGATTGGAATGTAAAAAAAAAAAAGTATATACAAATGGTCACAAAAAAAAAAAAAAGGAGAAGCCAGGTGCTTCTCAGAAAGAAGAGGCAGGTAGACCTCTGTGAGTTCCAGGCCAACCTAGTCTACACAGGAAGTTCCAGACAAAACTTCTATCAGAGAGGACAAGAAAACAGAAGAAAAAAAAAAAAAAAAAAAAAAAAAAAAAAAAAAAAACCTTATGGATAACTCAGCTAAGAAATACATTATGTGCACATACATGGAACAGTGGGACAGACTGGAAAATGGTAGAGCCCTAACCTACATCCTCTGACTGAATTCCAATCTTTCTGAGAGCCACCAATTATAAAGATAAAACCATATACATAACCAGCACTCCTTCCTTCACACTGGCCTTGAAAGCATGAGTAAGAAATGCCTGCACAGGACCAAGGAGGATATTCCTCTAGACCTCAAGATGCTAGTCACCCGACTGCTTTTTCTTTGTAAGACAAAGTCTAATGGAGGCATGTGCTGCACCCAAGAACACTTAGCTGTCCTTCTGTGAGCATTCAAATTATTATTTCTGAGTAGAGTCTTACATGGAATTTACAGTATTCCAGGGGAAGAAGTTGAGTGATAACACTTATGTAGCTATGTGATAGGCACTGTAATTTTTCTGTACTACTTTGACTTTCAGAATGTTTCTTAATATAAAGCTACTTTTACTTATACTTTTCATAATATTAAGCAATAGCATTGCCACAGTAATGTGACTTAACAAAGAAACTGATTTCCTCATATCTGGTAGACAGTCTGAGACTGAGGTGCTGATGATGTTTCTTCTAATGTCTTGCCCTGCAGCTTGCAGATTGCTGACTTCTTGTGTCCTTTTATATGCCCTTCCCTTCACCTGTTCATCTGTATTTTGTTCCTACATGGACACTAACTGTGAAGGATTATATGTAGATCCACTTGTTCCTGTAACAGTCACTTTTTAAAGGTCCAGTCCAAACACAGTCACATTCTAAGTACTGAAGGTTAAGACTTCAACATACCAACTTGTGGGAAAAACAATTTAGCTGATAAGCACAGGAAATATTAAGTTGGACAAAGTGGCTCACACCTGCATTCTCAATATTCAGGAAACTCAAGCAGGAGGTGTCAAGTTTAAGGCCTTCCATGCCAGTCTGAGCTATAGAATACAGGATTCTAAGATGGCCAGTAAGACCCTGTCTTGAGAAGAGAAAAGAAGAGGGCAAAGGGGATACCAAAATGGCTCAAATGCCAGCACTCAACAAAACTGGGTAGTTCACAAATAGCTATAACTCAAACTCCAAGAAATCCAATATCCCTTCTAAGAGTTGTAGGCAACTGAAAACACAAGGCAGACAGACACTCTCTCTCTCTCTCTCTCTCTCTCTCTCTCTCTCTCTCTCTCCCCTTCTCTCTCTAAACAAACAAACAAATAAATAAATGAAAGGCTAGACATGGTGCTACATGCTATAATCCCAGACTTGAGAGGCTGAGCCAGGAAGACTGCCACATGTTCAAGGCCAGCCTGGGCTACCGACACACTTCGAATATCAGGCTAGTATGAGCTACAAAACAAGAAAGGCACATGAAGAAGAGGAATGAGGAGTAATATGACCAAAATAATTATGTACATGTGTTTAATTCTCCAAAAATTAATACAAATATCATTAAAAATTATCAATAAATACAACCAAACAAAGCAAGAAAAAAGAGGCAACCATTACCTGATATGATCAGGTGTGGAACCACAGCAACCACCAACTATATTCACCAGGCCATCCATAGCAAAGTCCTGTACAGAGAAAGTGAGTTCATCTGAATTCTAAATGCACCAAAACAAACTCAGCATAAGAGTATTTACTTTGTATATTTTCTGAATACTAAGATTATACTAAGGAGAGATAAACATATTTACTTTAGATTAAAAAATGCCACAAGCCCTAACTAGGTAAAAGATACCATGGACATAGTTCAGATACTATGAAACCTTTTATACTATCTGAAATACAGTAGAAACGTTATTTGCCTATCTGATGAAATGAATGTTTTTACCCACATGACCAGAATAAATATGAAATAGATAATGCATTTTCAAGAAACATATGAGTATTATTTTTCAATTTAACTTAAACTTTTTAAAATAAAAAATGAAAGTCCTGTCACATTAGCCATGTTTCAAGTGTTCCATCAAATGCATGGGGGTAAGGTGCCACTGATCAGCAGGGTCTCAAACAACAGAGGCTAGTGAGTGAAAAGTGAGATGAAGGAAAGAGGCTGAGAAAGCAGAACTCCAAGACCATCTACTTAAGATAATTGAAATTGCAATCTCAGCACTCAGGAGACTGAGGCAGAGAATCATGAGCTCAAAAACAGCCTGGACTGTAGCACAATGCTATCTCAATGGAAACAAACAAAAAAACCCTCTCTCAATGAACAAAAAAAAAAGGACACTGAAAGTATAAGAACTGACTCAGAAACAGTCTCAGAAAAAACATCAGTGAGCTAGGAGATGAAAATTCAAAAACTGAAGACAAACGGAGGCATCATTAGATGACTACACTAAGCAACAGCAGTAGTAACCGTCTCATGATTCAAAGATGTCAAGAGAGGGAGCCAAGTGGACATCCAGTCCACCAACCCAGCAGTCTGAGGTTAATGACAGGGAAGTCATTATATGATAGCATTGAAAAGGGGACATTGTAGAGCAATGTCTCATTTAGTTTGGAGGACCTTACTGGTAATTTTCTAATAGCTACCACTGCCAATTGATAAGTAAGCAGACAGCTAAGCTCTGTCTTATGCTTCCACTACTTTAACTCAGAATACTTAAACTTTATCTTGTTATTCATATACTAGATTTTGAGGGGAAATTATGTTAAATCCAAATATTATCTTCCATCATGCAACTATTCTGGAGGCTGAAGCAGAAGGATAGCAAGCTTAAGAGCAGCTTAGGCAAGGCAGACTGGATCTCAAAGCTAATTAATTAATTAACTAATTAATTAATAACATTGTATCTGTCTCTTCAAAACTAAAATGAATGGATACCTGACCTTTAGGTGACTGGCCATCATGGACGGTGTTTCATCATAGTCACCAAAAGTATTGGGAAGACCTGAAAAAGAACATTTCAACCATTATTCAAAAGTATCTTAACAAATATCTAAGTGCTTTAAAATTAATACAATTCTGTATTGATAATCAAATTATAACTGCTTACAAGGTGAACAATAATACTGTATTGATATAACAGATAGCATAACAACAAGAAAATCTGAAGAACACTTACTTTTCTTTTACATATTAACCAGAAAGTTCATTCCCACTTGGATCAGAGTGCTCCAATTTCCACCTCCAAGCCCCTTACTACAAGATAAACTCATTCTTACAAAACTGCTCATGTGGAAGACACCCTGTACACACTCCCACAGCCTTTGAACTAATGAACATCTGACGTGCATTGAGACCAAAACCAAAAAACCAGCCTTCTTTAAAGTAGTTAAATACTTCTACTGTATTTCAGATGGCATAAAAGTTTTCATTGTACCTGAACTATTTCCCACGTGTACCTTTTACCTAGGGCTTATGACATTTTTGTTTCTAAAGTAAATGTTTATCTCTCTTTAGTATAATCTAATACTTTATCCTCTGATTATCTAGTTTCCTGTTGGAAACATGTCCCGCCTCTAGTTACCAGAGGGAAATAAAATATATTATGCATTTTCTAAGATCTATTTATGAGTAATGTGCATGTTGCTCAAATTTATGTCTATGCACCACCTGTGGTCCTGGTGCCCTAGAGCTGGTGTTATGGATAGTTGTGAACCAACATGTGGGTGCTGAGTAGTAAACCCAGGTCCTTGGCAAGAACAAGTACTCTCAGTCCCTTAACCATCTCTATAGATCCTTTCTATACATTTTTAAATGTATACACTTGAGACTGGTGAGATGTCTCAGCAAATAAAAGCATTTGCTGAACAAGCCTAATGCTCTGGGTGCAAGTCTCAAAACCCACAGTAAGAGAGAACCAATTCCCAAAAGTTATCCTCTAACCTCCATCGCACGCTGTGACACACATGCAATTGCACCCACACATATAGATCATTTACACAAATATTAATAAAATTATTTTAAATTTTTTAATGTATACATTTGGACAAAAATGTACAGAAAATGATTTTTAGTACTAAGTAGCTGAACAGTACTGGGAAACCTGGCCGTCCCAGACCAAATCATCAAATACCTGTGAAATGTTTAGCTGCCATTAACTAGAAATCTTAGCTTTTAGAACATAACACATAATACTACCCACAATGCATTTCTGCTAATAAACAAAATGGGGAAGATATCCCTCTTATTTTGGCATTTTTCTGGCTATATTCACATGGCAAAACTCTTGTTAGTGATATAACTAGATATTTGCCTGAAGTTATGGCCTATTTTAAAACTGCAAGCTGAGCAAAATTGTTCTTTCAGGTTTAAGGGGAAGCACTAGTATAAAACCAAATATGTTTTTTTCTTTTGGCATTCATGTTGAGTCTCGAACAAACACTTGAGCCTCCCTCCCCTATATGTACACATGTACACACACAAACATACACACCCCTACAACACAGATTCTCCAAATCAAGATGCTACCCCATTTACCATGACTTGAATATATCCAGTTCTTCATGTGTAGCCCCCTGCACCCCCCTTCTTAAACACACCTGCATTTGGGTAACAGAGGACGTAGGCTGTTGTACATTTTCCAATTGTTTCAATGAAAGGCCTCATTTCAGCTGCACCCAGAGCACAATTTAATCCAATGCTGGTAAAAGAGTAAACAAGACGTCAGCATCATCATCTTTCATTCAAAGTATGTATGCATATAAGTTATTATAAAGAGATGAATGCAAACAGAAATACAAGATTTTTGGTGAATAAACTATTCTGTATGATCTTAGAATAGCTGATATGTGTCAATTCATATTTAGGAAGATCCACACAATAGACAAAAGTGAGCTCTAATGTAGACTGGTATTCAGTTAATAATGCATTAATACCCTACAATCCCAAGGCAAGATGTTAACAGGGAAAACTGGTAGAAGTGTGGACAGGGAGGAAGTATACAAAACTCTGCCTTCTACATTTTTGTTGTTGTTTTAAGTAAATCTTTACCTGACCTAAAGCAAACAAACTAAAGCAAACATGATTCTCTGATCACTGATTTTCAACCGGTCCTCACATCTCCCTTAATACTGCTAAGTCCAAGTCCAGGCACGATAGCAGATGTCTGTGATCCCAGCACTCAGTAGGCAAAGGCAGGAGAGCGCCTTAGAGCCACAGCAAGTCTGAGACCAGTCTGAGCTTCAGGAGATGCTGACTCAAAAACAAACATATCAAAAGGGGACGCAAGGTCTAATGCATGGTTAACTTAAACTGAACAGACCTTTTCAGTTTAACCAATTTATTAGTATGTTCGGGAACTTTCATCATGGTATTATGGATGAGAATGGCCCCCAGAGGTTCATGTTTCAGTTTGTGAAAGTATAGGTCTGGCCTTGTTGGAAGAGGATTGTTGCTGAAGGAAGACTTCAAAGTTCCTTAAGACTTTCAATGTACCCTTCCTAGAGGTTATATCTCAAGATGGGAGCTCTCAGCTACTGCTCCAGCACCATGCCTGCCTGCTGCCATGCTCTCTACCATGATGGTCATGAACTCTAACCCTCTGAAACTGTATGCCCTAAATTAAACTCTTTCTTTTATAAGTTGTCTGGGTCATGGTACTGTATCACAGTAACAGAAAAGTAATCAAGACAGCTTCTGTCACCTGGATTCAGCATACAAAAAGTAACACTCTCAGTAAGGATGTTTGAATGTTTTCCAAACTTAGTTCCAATGCTAACTTGACTTTTCCACAGTTGACTTTACCCAGCCAAGCAGTCTTCAACTACAAGTACCTAGAGATAAATGGCAAGTAATATCCACCCAGTTCTTAGGGCTCTAATAAAGCACAAATGAAACATCACATATGGACATTCTTGATCAACTATCCAGTTCACCTACTGACATTAAGTCACTCTGACACAGCCATGTATCCTGTCTCTCTGCCTAGCAGACTCTAGCTCAAGTCTTCCAACACAGTTAAGATGTTGCCATGTCTAAAGAGCCATCTCTGAAACCTACAAGGACTCACCACATACAGCCAGATTTCCTTCACTGTTTCTGTACAGCACCAGCTGTTCTACCATATGTATTTGGGGAGAGGGAATACAAGGGAGGCATGCACATCTGGAAGTGAGAGGACAACTTTCAAGAAGGAGTTCTCTCCTACCTACCATGTGGGTCCCAGTGATCAAATAAAATCATCAACCTTAGCAGCATGTACCTTTACCTGGTGAGCCATATTTTACATTCTTATTTAGTGAAGTGTTTCTCCTTAATATGGATTACTTCACTTGGCCAGTCTTCCAGGGCACGTAGCCAGATTTCAATAAGTGATAAATTAATAATAACATGGTATTGATTCTATTGTTCTTTGTTAAAAAAGAGTTTAATGATAACAGTCAATCATTAAACAATAGTTTCTCATAAGTTAACCCTTCTCCCATGACTGCTAACTTCTAATACCCTTCCATTCTTATAAGATAAAAACCTAACCTTTAACATTCCTACTTTATTTTATTCTAGAATGCTTCTGCATGTCCCACAAATTGGGAGGAACACTGCCTTAACATTTGCAATCACTGCTGTGAAAATGTAAATTAACTATTAATAGCCTAAAGTAAGGCCCAGCCAAGCAGTCTTAAACTAGAAGCAGACTCACAGGCAAACACTTGACTGCCCAGAAGGTACGTGGCCCATCCATTACAGTGGCCTTGAAGCCCTTAAAGTCCAAAAGACAAGAGGAAATCCAGTGCACCAAGGAAATGTCACAGTAGAAACACAAAAAGAAGGCCCCTCTGAGGCCATGTTATACAGTCTCCAATAAAAAAAATGCCCCAAAACAAAGAGTCACTCACCACAGTGGGTCTGAATGAGACACGCTGATGACAAATGCCTCTACGGTTTGGCCAGAAAGAGTCCGTCCACTTTTATCAACAATGGTTCCAGAAATCTGAATTAACAATGTTAACAGAGCAACAACTTAGACTCTAGTAATGGTCACAAAGACAAAAAGAAACGAACAAGTGGAAGTTCTTCATTCTCTCATGAGGGAGAGAACTGGCACAACGGATATATGACAAGTGACTGGAGAAGAAGGACACACTCAAGAAAAACCCAAGCAGCCTTAGATATCACATGCCACGCCCATCCCTCCTCAAGCCCTAATAGGACCTAGTCTTTAATCCTTTGGCCTCTTTTAAACAGCTTGTCCTCCATCAATCACTTCTAGGAGGAAGGTAAACAGAGGGGTACTTTCTGAAAGATATGCTACTGTTTCAGGGAGGGAAAAATCCTACACAAAAGCCCTAACTGTAAAGAAAATTCTTAAAGAGGAAGAAGGGTTCTCAAGCACATATTTAAGAACTTACAAAGATAGGCCGGGGAGCAGCATAATTCTCTTCAAAGAGTTTCTGGAGCGCAAACAAGGCAGCCTGTAAAAACACAAGAATACCTTTATTTCTGAGAAATGTCCAAGGTCAATCGAAATACCTGATCAGTATGTACCTTTTCCCAGAGCTCTTCAGACAGGATACATTCCAAGCTGAGGATAGGAAATCTTCCCTAAATGTCTAACACTGTTCTTGACTGTAACACTGTACATGCTAACAGATACTCAGGTAAGGGAATCTCAAAAATGTAACACTGTACATGCTAATCAATGCTCAGGAAGTCATCTCAAGTGTAACACTGTACATACTAAGCAAAGCTCAAGTAAGGGAATCTCAAGTGTAATACTGTACATGCTAACAAATACTCAGTTAAGGGAATCTCAAAAATGTAACACTGTACATGCTAATCAATGCTCAGGAAGTCATCTCAAGTGTAACACTGTACATACTAAACAAAGCTCAAGTAAGGGAATCTCAAGTGTAACACTGTACATGGTAACTAATGCTCAGGTAAGGGACTCTCAATTATAATACTGCACACACTAATGAACACTCAGGTAAGAGATTCACAATGTAGCACTGTACATGCTATCTAGAGTTCATGTAAGGGAATCTCAAGGGTAACACTGTACATGCTAACCAATGCTCAGGTAAAGCAAGCTCAAGAGTAACACTGTACATGCTAATTACTATTCAGATAAGGGAATCTCAAATAACACTGTACATGCTAAACAATCCTCAGACAAGACATTCACAATAAACCACTATACATGCTTATAAAGACTCAGGTATGGGAATCTCAACTGTAACAATGTACACACTAATGAATGCTCAGGTAAGAGAATCTCAAGTGTAACACTGCACATGCTAACCAATTCCGAGGTCAGGGAATCTCAAGGGTTAAACAGGACACACTAGAAAATGCTCAGTTAAGGGTATCTCTAGCGTAACACTGTACATACTAACCAATGCTCAGGTAAGGGAATCTTACATTTATACTATACTCAGTAACCAATGCTCAGGTAAGAAAATGTCAAATGTAACACTGGACATACTAAGCAATGCTCAGGTTAAAAAAAATCCAAAGTGTAACACTGTACACCCTGACCAAAGCTCAAGTAAGAAAATCTCATGTGTAACACTATACATGCTAACCAATACTCAGGTAATGGAATTGCAAATGTAAAACTGGACAAGCTAACCAATGCCCAGATATGGTAATACCAAATACACACCAATACTCATGTATGGGAATCTCAAATGTAACACTGCACATGATAACCAATGCTTAAGTAACTGAATCACAAATGTAACACTGCACATGCTAACCAATGCCCAGGTATGGTAATCTCAGGTATAACCCTGTACACACTTCCGGTGCTCAGGTAAGAGAATGTCAACTGTAACACTGTACATGCTAACCAACGCTCAGGTAAGGCAAGCTCGAGAGTAACACTGTACATGCTAATTATTGTTCAGATAAGGGAATCTCAAATAACACTGTACATGCTAAACAATCCTCAGGTAAGACATTCAGAATGTACCATTGTACACGCTAATGAACGTTAGGCATGGGAATCTCAATTGTAACACTGTATATGTTAAACAATGCTCAGGTAAAAATAAATCAAGTATAACACTGTACATGCTAAACAATCCTCAGGTAAGAAAATCTCAAGTGTAACATTGTACATGCTAACCAATGCTCAGGTATGGAATCTCAAGTATAACACTGTACATGCTAACCAATGCTCAGGTATGGAATCTCAAGTATAACACTGTACATGCTAACCAATGCTCAGGTATGGAATCTCAAGTATAACACTGTACATGCTAACCAATGCTCAGGTATGGAATCTCAAGTATAACACTGTACATGCTAACCAATGCTCAAGTAAGGGATTCTCAAATATAACACTGTACATGCTAACCAATGCTCAGGTATGGAATCTCATGTATAACACTGTACATGCTAACCAATGCTCAGGTATGGAATCTCAAGTATAACACTGTACATGCTAACCAATGCTCAAGTAAGGGATTCTCAAATATAACACTGTACATGCTAACCAATGCTCAGGTATGGAATCTCAAGTATAACACTGTACATGCTAACCAATGCTCAAGTAAGGGATTCTCAAATATAACACTGTACATGCTAACCAATGCTCAGGTATGGAATCTCATGTATAACACTGTACATGCTAACCAATGCTCAAGTAAGGGATTCTCAAATATAACACTGTACATGCTAACCAATGCTCAGGTATGGAATCTCAAGTATAACACTGTACATGCTAACCAATGCTCAAGTAAGGGATTCTCAAATATAACACTGTACATGCTAACCAATGCTCAGGTATGGAATCTCATGTATAACACTGTACATGCTAACCAATGCTCAAGGTAAGGGAATCACATTTTACACTGTACTCAGTAACTAACGCTCAGGTAAGAAAATGTCAAGTGTAACACTGGACATACTAAGCAATGCTCAAGTAAAAAAATCCAAAGCGTAACACTGTACACCAAAGCTCAGGTAAGAATATCTTAGGCATAACACTGGAAAAGCTAACCAAGAGTAGGTATGGTAATCTCAGGTATAACCCTGTACACACTTCCGGTGCACAGGTAAGGGAATGTCAACTGTAACACTGTACATGCTAACCAACGCTCAGGTAAGGCAAGCTCGAGAGTAACACTGTACATGCTAATTATTGTTCAGATAAGGGAATCTCAAATAACACTGTACATGCTAAACAATCCTCAAGTAAGACATTCAGAATGTACCATTGTACATGCTAATGAACGTCAGGCATGGGAATCTTAATTGTAACACTGTATATGTTAAACAATGCTCAGGTAAAAGAAAATCAAGTATAACACTGTACATGCTAACCAATGCTCAGGTAAGAAAATTTTACACTGTACTCAGTAACCAAGGCTCAGGTAAGAAAATGTCAAGTGTAACACTGGACATACTAAGCAATTCTCAGGTTAAAAAAAAATCCGAAGTGTAACACTGTATACCCTGACCAAAGTTCAGGTAAGAATATCTTAGGCATAACACTGGACATGCTAACCAATGCTCAAGTAATTGAATCACAAATTTAACACTGGACAAGCTAACCAATGCCCAGGTATGGTAATACCAAGCAAGTTTAACACTGTACACATTTACTAATACTCAAGTATGGGATGGATGCTTAGGTAAAGGGATGTCAGGTGTAACACAGTACATGCTAACCAATGCTCAAGTAAGGGATTCTCAAGTATAACACTGTACATGCTAACCAATGCTCAAGTAAGAAAATTCAACTTTAACACTATACATGCTAACCAATGCTCAAGTATGGGATCTCAAGTATAACACTGTACATGCTAACCAATGCTCAAGTAAGAAAATTCAACTTTAACACTATACATGCTAAACAAGCTCAGATAAGGGGAATCTCAAGTATAACACTGTACATGCTAACCAATGCTCAGGTATGGAATCTCAAGTATAACACTGTACATGCTAACCAATGCTCAGGTATGGAATCTCAAGTATAACACTGTACATGCTAACCAATGCTCAAGTAAGGGAATCACAAGTATAACACTGTACATGCTAACCAATGCTCAGGTATGGGAATCTCAAGTATAACACTGTACATGCTAACCAATGCTCAGGTATGGAATCTCAAGTATAACACTGTACATGCTAACCAATGCTCAGGTATGGAATCTCAAGTATAACACTGTACATGCTAACCAATGCTCAAGTAAGGGAATCACAAGTATAACACTGTACATGCTAACCAATGCTCAGTTATGGGATATCAAGTATAACACTGTACATGCTAACCAATGCTCAGGTATGGAATCTCAAGTATAACACTGTACATGCTAACCAATGCTCAAGTAAGGGAATCTCAAGTATAACACTGTACATGCTAACCAATGCTCAGGTATGGAATCTCAAGTATAACACTGTACATGCTAACCAATGCTCAGGTATGGAATCTCAAGTATAACACTGTACATGCTAACCAATGCTCAGTTATGGGATATCAAGTATAACACTGTGCATGCTAACCAATGCTCAGGTATGGAATCTCAAGTATAACACTGTACATGCTAACCAATGCTCAGGTATGGAATCTCAAGTATAACACTGTACATGCTAACCAATGCTCAAGTAAGGGAATCTCAAGTATAACACTGTACATGCTAACCAATGCTCAGGTATGGAATCTCAAGTATAACACTGTACATGCTAACCAATGCTCAGGTATGGAATCTCAAGTATAACACTGTACATGCTAACCAATGCTCAGGTATGGAATCTCAAGTATAACACTGTACATGCTAACCAATGCTCAAGTAAGGGAATCACAAGTATAACACTGTACATGCTAACCAATGCTCAGTTATGGGATATCAAGTATAACACTGTACATGCTAACCAATGCTCAGGTATGGAATCTCAAGTATAACACTGTACATGCTAACCAATGCTCAAGTAAGGGAATCTCAAGTATAACACTGTACATGCTAACCAATGCTCAGGTATGGAATCTCAAGTATAACACTGTACATGCTAACCAATGCTCAGGTATGGAATCTCAAGTATAACACTGTACATGCTAACCAATGCTCAGTTATGGGATATCAAGTATAACACTGTGCATGCTAACCAATGCTCAGGTATGGAATCTCAAGTATAACACTGTACATGCTAACCAATGCTCAGGTATGGAATCTCAAGTATAACACTGTACATGCTAACCAATGCTCAGGTATGGAATCTCAAGTATAACACTGTATATGCTAACCAATGCTCAGGTATGGAATCTCAAGTATAACACTGTATATGCTAACCAATGCTCAGGTATGGAATCTCAAGTATAACACTGTACATGCTAACCAATGCTCAGGTATGGAATCTCAAGTATAACACTGTACATGCTAACCAATGCTCAGGTATGGAATCTCAAGTATAACACTGTACATGCTAACCAATGCTCAGGTATGGAATCTCAAGTATAACACTGTACATGCTAACCAATGCTCAGGTATGGAATCTCAAGTATAACACTGTACATGCTAACCAATGCTCAGGTATGGAATCTCAAGTATAACACTGTACATGCTAACCAATGCTCAGGTATGGAATCTCAAGTATAACACTGTACATGCTAACCAATGCTCAGGTATGGAATCTCAAGTATAACACTGTACATGCTAACCAATGCTCAGGTAAGGGAATCTCAAGTATAACACTGTACATGCTAACCAATGCTCAGGTATGGAATCTCAAGTATAACACTGTGCATGCTAACCAATGCTCAGGTATGGAATCTCAAGTATAACACTGTACATGCTAACCAATGCTCAGGTATGGAATCTCAAGTATAACACTGTACATGCTAACCAATGCTCAAGTAAGGGAATCTCAAGTATAACACTGTACATGCTAACCAATGCTCAGGTATGGAATCTCAAGTATAACACTGTACATGCTAACCAATGCTCAAGTAAGGGAATCTCAAGTATAACACTGTACATGCTAACCAATGCTCAGGTATGGAATCTCAAGTATAACACTGTACATGCTAAACAATGCTCAGGTATAGAATCTCAAATATAATAGTGTACAAACTAATGAATGCTCAATTAAGGAAAGAGTTCAATAGTGGAGCCCTATCTAGCATGGTGCACAATGTCTGAGGTTCAACCATTAAAATAAGTAAAAAAATCTGAGTTCTCCTAACAAGCTAATTATTTCCTCTGAAGAAGAGCCGAAGACAACAAAATGCTCTTCGTATTTGGTCAGCCTTCCTCATACATTAAAGGTAGGAGTAAGACCCCAAGATGTGCATCTCTAGAAAAATCATCATGAACTTGGGTTGTTAAACTACTTCACTCTGTTAAAAGTCCATGTTTAAGTTCCGAGCAGTGATCTTCTACTTCTTCTTCATTTTATCATTAGTCACTGATGTGAAGATGAACAAATCTGAAATTGGAATGTAGCTTGTTGTTAATACAAACTTTTCCAGTAATAGAGGGCTGTTTTATGTTTTTGCTTTTTTTTTTTTTTTTTTTTTCCATGTAAAGTACAACATGGAATGCTGGTATGGTGATGCACACCTGTAATGCCAATACTTGAGAGGCTGAGGTAGAAGGACCTCAAGTTTGAGGCCAGCCTATGAGACATTCTAGGTCAGCATGGGCTACATAGCAAGACTCTGTCACAAAAATAACAAACTAGAATTCCTATTTTAGAACAACAACAACAACAAAAAAAAAATGGATCATTTAAATCTCCTTGTTTGTTGCTCTTTTGTTTTATTTTGTTGTTTATTCCAGACTTGGTTCTGCTGTATAGCCCTGGCTGCCCTGTACCAGGCTAACCTTGAATTCAGAGAGCTGCCTATCTTTGCCTCCTGAGTACTGAAATTAAAGGTGTGCACCGCCACTACACGGCAGACCCTTAAAATCTTTGGGTTTTTTTTTTTTTTCCAAAAGTTTCTCTGTGTAACAGTTCTGTCTGTCCTGAAATTCTCTTGGTAGAGCAAGAAAGCCTCAAACTCAGAGATCCAACTGCTTCTGCCTAAGTGCTGGGATTAAAGGGATGTGCCATCACCACCTGGCTTTAAGCCACCACTGCCTGACTGTAAATTTCACACCCTTAAAATCTTATGGAAAACAAATACATAAGAGTAGCCAGAAAGGTTTTAGGTAATGGATGGGATTAATAAAAGCAGCTAAGCCTACCAGTCACTCAAACTATTCTAAAGCTGTAGCAAACAATATAGTAATGCCATATGAACAGACTTTTGGAAGGACTATAAAATTTAGGGTGTCTTAAACACCATGACCAAAAGGAACTCAGGGATGAAAGGGTTTATCTAGATTACAGGTCCATTAAAGGAGAAGCCAAGGCAGGACTTAGAGACAGGAATTTGGGGACAGAAACTGAAGCAGGGACCATAGAGGAATACTGCTTACTGATTTGCTTTCCATGCCTTAGTCTCCTTATACAACCCAGGACCATTGGCCAAAGGGAGGTACTGCCCACAGTGAGCTGAGTCCTTCCATATCAACCACACACTTCCTTACAGGCCAATCTGATAATGGAAGCATTTTCTCAATTGATATTCCCTCTTCCCACATGACCCTGGTTCATATTAAGTTGACAAAAAACTAACCAGGACAGGCATCTTTCCTGTCACTGAGAAATAAAGTCTTTAGGGCTGGAGAGATGGCTTAGTGGTTAAGTGCCCAGGTTTCCCCAGGTTCAATTCCCAGCACCCACATGATGGTTTACGACCCTCTGTAACCTCAGTTCCAGGTGATCCCATGCCCTTCTTGCATCTGTGAGCATCAGGCATGCATGCATGTGGTATACAAGCATACATGCAACCAAAAACAAACACATAAAATGAAAAATAAAGTGTTTAATAGATGGTATTAGGAAAATGGAATAATCTTACACAAATGTTTTACCTACTTTGTACTCCAAAATAAATTCCAAAAATATCATTAGAAAAACTTCTATTATAAAAAAGAATGTATGGAGCCTGCAAGATAATTCAGTGATTAAGGTGCCTGCTGCCAAGCCTGATAATCTAAGTTTGGTCAAGGGACCACAGGGTAGAAACAAAGAACTGACTCCCCAAGCTGTCCACTGACATAAACACTCATGTACTATGGCACTCATGTACCCACACACACACATATATATACATGTATATATGTATACAAAATAAAGTGCTAAAAAAATTATAAACATCAAAGATAATCAGTTGCCTTGCAAGCATGAGAACCTGAGTTCAATCCCTAGAACGTACTTTAAAAGCTGGTGATATATACCTGTAATCCCAGTTCTAGGGAGGTAGAAACAGAAGGATCCCTGGGGCTTGCTAGCCAGTAATTGGAGAGATACAGAACAATGAGAAACCATCTTAAAGGAAGTGGGTGGCATCCTTTAATGATTTAGTGATTCCTGAGGATGACACCCAAGCTTATCCTCCATATGCTACATGCATGTAAACGAGTGTTTACAGTCACACGTGAAAGAGTATAGGTCACACATTTTAAAACTTTAAAAAAATCTATCCTAGTGCTTTATATTCTTGTTTAGCTCCCCATGTTTCCAGTAAGAACAATACTGTGATTCTTTTCAATTGGGAACCTGCTAGTTCCATGATTAAGAACACATACTGCTCTTCCAGAAGACCCAAGTTTGATTCCTAGCATCTGTTATCAGGCTGCTCAAAACCACTGGTAACTCCAGCTGCCAGTGGTATCCGATGCGTCTAGACTCTGCGTGCATCTGTACTGATGTGCACATATACCTAGACACACACACATATACACAAAATTTTTTAAATTTTAAAAATCCAACACAAAAAAAAAAAGAGCAGAGGACATAAATCACAGAAAAGGAAATATTGTTTCTAGACTCGGGTATGGTGGTATACACACATGAAAGAGCCAATCAGAGACAGACTAAAATGGAGCAAACACAACAAACTTCAGCAGTAGCTATTATTATCATCTAACTGTAGAGGATTATTCACAGCCCCTCTATCATCCCACTCCATTTCTCCCCCTCACTTACTTTGGCATTGGCTGTATCAAAAATAGTTTCAATGAGTAAGATATCAACATCACCATCCAGCAGTCCTTTGGCCTGCTCCTGGTATGCTTCAACAAGTTCATCAAATGCTACAAAAAACAAATCATAGCCAGCACATCAGAAACCACACGTTCTAAATGACATCAGGGTGTGCTAAGCTGAAGTCTGGCACCTGCAAATCAATGATGGTTTACCATGCAACTGTTTAAAGACAACACTCTCTGTAAAAACCAAATACAGTGGTAGGAAATAATCAACAAAGCTGTTCCTAAACTACTGTCATGAGCCCTCAACTTCTCACGTATGAGCTAGGAATGGGAAAGTACATAATTTGTTGAAGTATATACTTTATTCTCAACATCTTTAAAATAAACACATCATTCTTCCCATAAATCATCTTAACCCATTAAGAGACAACTTTAAGATTTAGCGGTTGGAAAGATGGCTCAGCAGTTAAGAGTACTTGCCATTCTTCCAGAGGACCAGAGAACCCAGCACCCACATCAGGCAACTCCAGTTCCAGGTGACTCAAAGCCTCATCTGGATTTTTACAAACACACACATGCACACACACACACACACACACACACACAAACCACAACACAATAACTGAGATATGGATATATCACAGATTAAATCTCTAATAAAAGTTATGAGCCTGTGGATTTCACCCCTCCCTCAGTTCAGAGAAGCCACCTCTCCATTAGACAATTTTTGACTGAACCATTAATATATTCACTAACTATTAGGTCAATTTAAAAAAAAATTATCCTGTGTTATCTGTTTCCAATGAGAAGCCATCTGTCTACTTCAGCTTCAAACCAAATGCCTAACTATTTAATAGAGACACACACAATGCTTGCTATGATGTTTCACCTGACATCATACAGTTTGGGAAAACTGTTACATCCAGTCCAGAGAACATGAACTACACATCAGCCTGGGAAGTGCCACTCTTCATAGAGAAACATGGTAGCACAGCATGCACAAGTCTGTAAACAAAATCCTGTAAGCCATACTCACCTGGACTTGTCACCTACACAAAATCCATTACCACAAATGGTACAATTAGCTCTAGGATTTTAAATCTTTTATACAGTATTAATGCTCTCAGATTGAATTACACTCTTAATCTTTGTCAAATTTTAACAAAGCAAGTTTATATACAACAATTTATATCTATAAGGCTAGGATGTTTAGATAATTTGGACTGATTTCTGAAATTAAAAGGTAATATAAACAGGGCATGGTGGCTCACACTTATAATCAATCCCCTCACTCAGTAAGCTGAGATGAAAGCCTGCCACAAATGTGAGAACAACATAGGCTAGACAGAGTTCTAGGTTATCTAGTCTGAACTATTGTGTCAGACCCCGTATTTAAAAAAAAAAAAAAAAATACTTAAAAAATTTTCAAAAAGTTGAAGGATAGAAAGGGAAAAACAAACAACAAAGCAGTCATTTTATAACAGACCAAGAGCTAATATCCAAATTTGCTTGAGATCTTCCTTTTATGCACTATTTCAGCTAGTTTTCTAGGGAGCACTGACACATCACCACGGACGACTGAAAGCAAGCTCTAACAAGAACAGCAGCTAACTTTAGAGTATTCCAGGCACTACTGTAAGCCCTGGACACAGGTCCCAGTTCCTAGATCTGTAGAGACTGAAGCAAAGTCTGTGATTGTATGTATGTATGAATACTCACTGATGTTCCTATAATCCGGTCTTTCCACAGATGGGGAGACAGAAAGTGTCTTATTAGTTGGACCCAGGGCTCCAGCCACAAACCTCTTGATTCCTTTGGTAAAAGAAAAAAAACAAACAAACAAAAAAATCACCCAAACTTTTTGGTACAAATCCACAGACTTTAGGATCACATGTGGTAACACACACGTATAACCTCAGCTCTTGGGAGTCAGAAGCAAGCCTGTGAGTTCAAGGCTGACCCGGGCCTGGGAGTGGGACTTAGTGGCAGACTGCTGGCCTAGCACACATGAGGTACTCATCCTGGTTCAACTCCCCCAATAAAGAAAAATGACAGAGATGAGGGAGACGTTTCCTTTCATATAAGGGTATATATAATTCTCAACCGCTCAGAAACCTAAAAAGTCCTAAAAAAATAAAAAAACTATTTTTTCAAAATTCATTTAAAACAAAACTTCTATTGAACTAATAAAAGAAAGGCTCTTTAATTTTATGTCACTGAAATGACAGGTTGTCTTAACATTATTTGTTCATGACTAGGAAAATCACACAATAAAGGGATATATAAATATTATTGCTGTTAACAATTCAAAAAGAACTCTCAAACTTCAAATCCAAGGATTTCTGCATGCAATTCTGTTCTATTACAGCTGTGTGTTGGCATACTTCCTCCTTATCCTTAAGAAAAATTCAAAGTCTTGAATTTAACAAGGTACCTCACAGTAGAACATAATGTGAAAGGCTTTATGATACTACACTGTAGGCCTTTCACCAGAGTAAATATTACATCAGAATCAACAATTACAAAGCCTGAAATTCCAGTATGAAGCAGAATGAATATTGTTCTAGTCAGCTCTTTAACAACAACAACAAAAAAAAAAAAATCTTGACTCTGAGCTGGAGAGATGGTTCAGTGGTTAAGAGCACTCACTGGCTGTTCTTCCAGAGGACCTATGCACCCACGAGGCAGCTCTCAACTGCCTGTAACTCTAGTTCCAGGTAACTTGGCATGCTCACACAGAAATACATGTACGTAAAACACCAACGCATATAAAATAAAGATAAATAAATCATTTTAAAAAAAATTCTTTTGCCTCTAGACCAGAAGTGAACTTGTTTCTTTAACAGCCTGGGAAGTTGCGCTATCATGCATATCAAAACCAAGGCCAGGAGTCCTATAACTCATTATTTGGTGATTTTTAGTAATATAACCTGGGCTCTGCTTTACAATACACAGAAGACTGCCAACTAGCTATAATGGCTGGGCACAACAGCACACAACTGTGATTCTAGCATGTGGGAGGTAGAGGCAGGAGGATCAAAAGTTCAAGGGCCTCCTCTGCAACACTGGTTCAAACCAGCCTTGAGCTCCAAGACTGTCTCGAAACAAACAAAAAGAAAAAAAGGAAATTATTTTGCTGCCTGTGAAAAGTTTTCAGGCCTAAGGAAAATGTCCTTATCTTTTCCTGTCTGAACTAGCTCAATAGCCCATGACCACATCTCTGCTGGGTTAATAGGCTCTGCAAGTCCATAAACGATTTTTTTTTTTCCTCGACAGGGTTTCTCTGTGGTTTTAGAGGCTGTCCTGGAAGTAGCTCTTGTAGATCAGGCTGGTCTCGAACTCAGAGATTACAAGTCCATGAACTTAAACATTATCTCTCAGAAACAGATTTCCATGTAAATTGCTTTGGTCTTCTTCATTAGTATAGTGTCAAAAACTTCCTAAAAATGACTTCCCAATTTTCTTACTGGAAATAACTTCAAAGTTCCAAATCTTTCAGGGCTTGACATATTTCTTCTACTGTTTTCCCTGTCTCAAAGCCTCCCACCAGCACTGTCCTGATGGCAGCAAGCAAGGAGGTTAGTTATTTCAAGAACCACTTTCCAAGTTCCAGCAAGACTGAGTCTAATGCTACAGTCTTCTGTCAGCCAGGAAGAGCAATCAGGTCAGCAGTAGTCTACAATGAGAAAAAGCTCAAAAGATAATCACTGCTTATATAAATAAGCCAAGCATGGGGAAGAAGGCAGCTTTAGAAAGATAAGATCAAATACTCTAATAATAACCAAAATCAAATCAGCCAGTTGCTATTTAATAACCCACCAATGTGCCTCCCTACCAACTCAGGCTATGAACATCAGCAGGGTAAAGAGTAAACCCTAAACTAGAGATACTTCAGAGACACTGAATGGTTCTCTATGATACTACGGGAAGAAGTGAATTATCAGCTCCCAAGCCAAACTTCATTTAAAGGAAAACCGAACATTAGAGTTGAGAACATCAAAGGACTCGTGTGTGCAACAAAGGAGAATGTCCCTTACCTGTCTGCAGAGTTATCTCCTCAGCGGCTCTTCTGGCCACATCTGCAGAGCACTTGTTCATCCGGTAGGCCTAACATATCAACCACTGAAGTTAGTCTGTCCTGCTTTTCCTCTATCCAGCCTAGCCAATTCTTAGGAATTCACCAAGGAACTAGCATGAACTAATGAGGTCTGAGTAAAACCATACGCTGTAAGGCTGGCATGGACGTCTGGCAGGTCAAACAAGCTGATACAGCCAAATATTCCACAAAATAATAAAATATTCTAACACAGGTGTGATAGCCTACAAGCCTAACACTGGGAAAGCTAAGACAGTGAATTTGAAAGTGTGTCAATGCTGTCTCAAAAGGAAAAAAAGAAAAAAGCAGTCTAATGGGGAAAGCACCAACATTTGAGAGAGGAAGCTGAAGATCTAAGAGTGTTTCAGCCACTGAAGAACCAGCTGGCAGTTCCCAGGGCAGCTTTCCCTGGCCCTGATTTTCTTACTGGACTATGGTAGAAAGAAGCAGTTCTAAACTTTGTGTAGATTATTAATACCTTAAAAATCTTGCCAGTAGTTGGGGCACACACCTTTAATCCCAGCACTCAGCAGGCAGAAGCAGACAGATCTCTGAGTTTGAGGTCAGCCTAGTGTACAAAGTGAGTTCCAGAACTAAACAGAGAAACACTGTCTCAAAACAAAAAAAAAAAAAAAAATTCTCATAAAGAGGGCTGGACTAGTGGTTAGGAGCACTGGATGCTCTTCCAGAGAACCTGAGTTCAATTCCCAGAAAGCACATGGTGGCTGACAGTCTTCTGCTAAGCTAATGCAGTTCCAGGAGGCCCAACACCCTCATGTGGCTTCCATGAGCTCCAAGCACACTCATGAGTGCAGGCATACATGCAAGCACTTAAAAACAATTTTTTTTCATCTGAGAAAGTATCATGGACCTCTTGCTGGGAAAGAGCAAGCAAGTAGGCAAACACACCCACACAGCAGTCTACAAGTGAAGGGACCCTTCAGAAGCTGTTCACACACCAGCAAGTGTTCCTAGATTTGTGATCTGCATCACCTCCTTTAACCGCCTTGACTCCTCAAATTGTGCAATTAGCAAATCAGAATATCCTAAGCAGGGTTTGGTGCACTGTAGCTCATGGTCCATCTAGTTGTCCACTTCTTCTCTGAACAGCTATAGCCATTTACTTACATGTACAGGTTCACAGTCTGTAATACTGCCTTTACCAAAAAATACACTGTTATTTGGCTATTGCTTGCCCTAAATAGTCAGCTGCAATAAATGGGCTGCTACCCTCATAAGCAGAAGAGGTTCCAGCCATCATCCCTGATAATTAGAATTAGACTGACTGACACTTCAGGTGACTCTGTCACTAGCAATCTCCAGTGCAATAAATACTAATAAGTATATTAGATAGGAAAGTCTCACCAAGTGTTCAAGGCCATAGTCAGCTTGGGCAATACTAGTGCTGCTGAAAGTGTTGGTTTCAATGATGTCTGCTCCAGCCAGCAAGTATTTCTGTAACAATGATAGTAAGTCAGCTACGGTGAATTTAATAAGAGATGGCCCCAATAAGAAACATGGCTTTTCATTTTGTGTCACCAACAACCTTTTAATCAATACATAAGACAATACACTCAAGACTAGAAATACAAGCAAGTATAAGGATTTCACAGGAAGGCATGTGATGTAATACTTAAGCACAGAACATAAATTCAAACAAAAATAATATATTAAATTACATAAATAGTTATATTTCTTAAACTCTGGTTTTTTGGTTTTGGCTTTTTGGGGTTTTGTTGTTGTTGCCATTTTTTAAGGAAAAAATACACAAACTTCAGAGGGTAATGGTGGGGCAGTAACTAGAATCCTGCCTATCAAGTTCTTGAAATTTTCTGAGTATTGACCTCCTCATCCAATTATTAAAACCATTTTTTGCCAATAGTAAGTCTATATGGTAGTATCTGCTAGCACTTCAAGTGTGTGGCATACCCTGGGCACTCAGCTCTGTTCCCCACACCTCCCTATTTAATGTAACTGATCTGCACTGAGAACTGCACCATCCTAAGAGATCAAATTCTGAGCATGTTGTTTCAGTCTGTGTCTCCTACTCCTCTATCTGTACCCTTCCTGGAACACTGAGAACTTGGTATCCTACCACTATGCCTGTTTAAAGCCTGCCTTCCTAGTTTCTCTGTCTGGACAACATCTCCATCTCAGTCTGACTCACAGGCTGAACCCCTTTGACTTTCTAACAGTCAACAAACTCAATCATTCCTAAGCTGATGAATAATGTTTGCAGAACTGAAAATGAAAGCAAGATAAGCACATTTATAATAGCAGTCACCAAGAGGAAGATAACTAAAGTAATCTCATTACATGTCATGATACCTAAAAAACCATTGTGTATGTCTACGACATGGTGAAGCCATCAAAAAACCTGAACAGGAAAACACAACGTGTAAGCCTATTGCTACAGTCTGAATACAAAATGTATTTAGACTCATGTTTAAGGACTTGATCCCAACTGGTAGCACCATTTCTGGAGGTTGCAGAACAATTAAGAAGTGGGCCAAGCTGGAGGAAGGAGGGTATAACCCTCTCTGTTCTGTTCCTGATCAGCACAATGTATCATGACCAATACCCTGTAACAAGCAACTGCCCACTCCACCACAAACACTAAAAATGCCTTCCTGATACAATGGACTATACCTTCTCTTTGAGCCAAAATAAATCTCATTTCTGTCAGCTCTTCTAGCAGAGATAAATAACATACACATACAACTATTAAGTTTAAAACATATACATTCAATTCATATAATATGCAGATATAAATATATAACAAAACAATTAGGAAGATAAGCATCAACTGATAGTTATGGAAGAGGATAGCAATTTATAGCAGTAGTCCAAAGGGCATTTATTCTAATTTATTCTTATTCTAGACAGCAAGAAAGGGGGACTGGAGAGATGATTCTAAGGTTAAGAGCTACCATTCTTCCAAAGTACCTGGTTCCATTCTCAGCACTCTTAGGCATCTCACAATCACATGCAACTGTAGTTTCATATGATCAGATACCCTCTTACAGCCTCCACAGTAAACATAAATACATATATTACACAGAGAGAGGTAAGAAAAACTGAAAACAACCATAAAGGTACCTCCTAATGCCATGCTAAAATTTAATATACAAATCTTGGCTGGGAGGGCAAGACATGACACTTTGACCTTGGAAGAGATGAATAGATCTGCCCTACCAGATGAATAGATCTGCTTTCTCTTGCTGCACTCCACCATGTGAGGATGATAGTAATAAAGGTATACAGTAAGCAGAGAGAGGCCTCAGCAGACACCAGACCTAATGGCATCTCAATGATGCATTTGCTACTGTTACAAACTAAAAAATAAATGCTGGGGCCTGGAGAAGTAGCTCAACAGTTAAAAGCACTAGGTGCTCTTCCAAGAAACCAGGTTCAATTACCAATACCCAAATGGCAGTTCACAATCACCTAAAACTCCTGGAGGCAATTCTAGAGGGTCTGACATCTAATTTTGGCTTCTCTGCACCAGGCACACACATGATACACACATACATGCAGTCAAAGCACTCGCACACATACATACATACATAAATAAATAAAGAAATAAATAAATAAATAAATAAGTGGGGATGTTGTTATTTGAGACACCCAGTCTGAGAACTGTACAGCAGCACAAACTAAGATACCACAGGTATTAATAGACAAATATGAAACTCCTAATTTGTTTCAGGATTTATGGTTTTTCAACTAAAGTTTAAATGCTTCAAAAGTTCCCCTCCCCACAAAAAAGACAAACAAACAAAACAACACACACACTAAAAAAAAACCTTTTGTCATCTCCTTATCCCAAGTGCCCAACTAACACAGTGTGTAACTTTTATTTGGTGTAAAACACCTGCTTTTTTAAGAAATCACATCCTTGTTCCATGTTCTCTAGAGCACAAGTCATGACAGTCTGAGCTTAATACATGAAATAACCTGAATGAATGCTTAAGAGCCTGGAAATTACTCACCTTATGAATTTGGCATATAATATCAGGTTGGGTTATACTTAAGATGTCATTGTTGCCTTTCAGTGGTCTGGTATGATCTTTAAATTCTTGACCTTGGAAACTTTCTTCACTTAGTTTATACTGCTGGATCATGGTCCCCATTCCACCATCTAGCACCATAATCCTCTCCCTAAGAATGGCTTCAATCTCATCCTGCAGGGTTTTCTTCATCTCTCCTTTAAAGAAAGTAAAGATTGACTTAAAGGATGAAAGAGGAAGGTATACAAGGTGTGGGTAAGAGAGATAGACCTTATGTATAAGATAACTGAGTTTGCTCCTGCACCACGGGGGGAGGGGGCAGTAAGGAAGAGGGAGAGGAAGATTAGGAGAGAAAGAAATGTGGACAGAAAATTTAGAATAATTCATAACTCACAATACAGAATAAGTAGAGCTTATGAACTTATGTAACTACAGCATTAGAAAATCACTGCTGAAAAGCTACTGCTGTCATTTCATTTGTTTGTTTGTTTGAGACAAGGTTTCTTATGTAACCTTGGCTGTCCTGGAACTCACTTTGTAGACCAGGCCAACCTTGAACTCCCAGAGTGCTGGGATTAATGGTGTGTACCACCACTGCTTGGCTGTTATTATCATTTCTAATACACATCACAAAGCACCAATGAACCCCAATTGATGGTAAAGTAGGCTTAGCTACTTCTGCTTCAGAATTCAGAGAAACAGTCAACAATGTCTGAGGGGTATAAACGGGGGGGGGCACTGGAGGCCAGGCCTGGCCAGGAAGTGCCTCAGGGTGAAACCATCTATTTCTGTTAGTCCAGTCTGAAAGGGGGCCTGGGATGATATTAGGGCTGAATAGGGGCGATAGGCATTTTTACAGGTGAAAATGAAAAAAATGAATTTTCCCTGACAATTCATTCCAACAAAAAAAAAAAAAAAACCAATACACTTTCTGTGGGAATGACAAATATCAGTATTAGGTCCATTTACTACTACATCGTCTGGGGTAGATTTTTTTTTTGGCATCCTTAAAGTGGCAGCTATTCCACAGTAACTATAAGGTACTAACATGAGACCACACTATCGCCACCTTGTGACTGGGCCTTTCTGGCTGAGCAATTTTCAAAACCGTGGGTTTCCCCGGCAATGTACTCTGTTGGGGCTCTGGTAGTGACTCACCGGTCTGCTCCATGACATAGAGGGCAGCCCCTGTTTTTTATAAAAGCAGTTCCCCCTAATCCCAAAAGTACCAACTTTTCTCTTTCTAGATAAGAAGCAAGAGTTAGAATTCTTTGACTTACCGCGTTCAGGGGAGAGAGAGAGCTCCTAGAGCAGTGTCAGCCCTGCTGGTCAGACAGGTTGGACATCATTATCTGGTTGGCTTCTAAATACAGGTAGCAGAGGACTTCTGATTTGTCTTAGGTAAATTATAGATAAATGAAAAGGCCAGTAATCTCCTAAGTTATACAGCCTTAAAATTAACCGCATGAGGGCTGTGCTTCCCCACTTCACAAAATAGCTAATTTTTCTCCCGTCTAGTTTGCTAAGAGCTCTGACTGGATTTCCCCCCATCCCCCCAACCCCCCCTCCCCTTTTCCCCATTTCTCTCCCTTCTTCAGGTTTTACCGGTTCCTGCTTCATTTTGGCTAATTCCCGTGGGGGTTCCTGGGTGGGGGGGGGGGTGGGGCGGGGGGGCGCGCTCTCCCCCGGGCCCCAGCCCCCCCCAAGGCCACCTGGAATGAACCCACATCAAGCCTTTTCTGGGTGTCCTGCGAACCTATCACACTCTCTCCCGCTCATCTTCCCAACACCTTTCTTCCGGCGCCTCCGGGTGCTGCCCGCTTCCTGCGTGTTGCGTTCGCTCAGGCACCTCCAGGATCTGCTGATTCGGGGGGGGGGGGGGGGGGGGGGGGGGGGGGGGGGGGGGGGCCGGGGGGGGGGGCGCGGCAACCTCTGCTCTACTTTAACACCAAATCCTTCTCATTCTTTTCACTCCAAAAGTCATTAACCTAATCCTATGCAAATATCTTCTGTTGGAAGCACCTCAAATCCCTCCTAGAGTTGGGCTCTTTCCTAAAAACCTCGTGCATTTGAATACTTGGTCCCAGTTGGTGGTGCTGTTTGGGGGTGGAGGAGCTGCTGCCTTACTGGAGTTAGTATGTCACTGGGGATGGGCTTTGAGAGTATATAGTCACACTCCGATTTCTCTGTATCCTGCTTATGATTAAAATGTGAAATGTGACCTTCCAGCTCCTGAGGCCACGCCTGCCACTTGCTGCCATGCCTCCCCACCATGATGGACTCATACAGCCCTTCCTTCTGAAAATTGCCTTCATCACAGTGTTTTATCACAGCAACAGTGATAACACAGCACCAGAGTGCATGCTCAGAAATAACCCAGTCTATTCCTTCCTACCTACAACATGCAGATTCCTCACCTTCCTGACACAACTTCCTCTTCTGCCACACTCCAAAAATGTCTTTCTACTCTCACTAATAACCTACTAGTTACTGAAGACACCAATCTAAGGCCCAAGTTTCAAACTAAGCACTGATATCAGATTCTTCCAGAACACACTACTGCTTCTCAATCTAATTTTCAAAATCAATCCCAATCTTGCTGTACTATCTCACTTCCCTATTTCTGTGAAGGACAACATCCTTCCCAGAAATGTTAATTCCAAATCTCAATATTGACTCCTTTTCTCCTAGAAAACAACCACTTACCTATCTGGATCACAAGCCCTACCAGTGTGGTCTCTAAAACAAATCTCACTCTAAACATACTCTCTTTAAGTGAGTTCCATCCTTAGTCCTCCTCAGGACATTATACTACCATAAAATGATTCAGTTCCCACACAAACAAATTCTGGGATCTTGTTTGTTGAGTCACCAGATAAGCATGACCACATGGCCATGTTTTTAAACAACTAAACAAAATGCGGAGGGGGGGGGTCTGTGTGCTTTTATTTTGTTAAATTGCTAAATTCATTCTATATTTTTTCAAAAACATTTTTTTAGGATGAAATGTCTTATTACGTACAAAAAGAATTATTTAGAATTTGCTACAATTTGTTAAAAACACAGCAATCTATTGTCTACAGGTAGGAAAACTCTTGCTGCAACAAGCTTAAGTGATCAAGCCCATATATACTTCAATATATGAATAGACAGTACAGGAATACTGTGATGTGGCTAGATGCAGAATCACATCATATCATTAAAAAGTAGAATTCTTGCATCAGCACAATGCTTACAACATGGAACATTTTCATTTTGTAAACTAGAAGGACAAAATAACCTGTATTTAACTACTTCCACCTTGATGGTTTAAGCAAAAACTTTGTAACCATATTGAGCATCCAGTCTTTTAACATATTTATGTACAGAGGGAGTAGGCTCCACCAGAGTGTGAGCCCAGAGGAACCTGTACACCTGAGCCTGTCGAAGAGAACTGCCAACTGTTACCACAGTTTCCTTTCGAGAATCTCGGGCTGGGGAAACCTTTACATAGCAGGGCTACACCAAACAGAGAAGACTTTTAAAAAACAAAAACTAAGTAGAACTAGAACTCAGCAGTACAAGGCTAATATGTACTAGTACAAAGTCTAGGAAACATCTGCGAAGCTGCACAACCCAATTCCAGCTGATTTTCACAACACAGAGCAGCAGCACAAGGGGAAGGAAGGCTGGCAAGAGACAGGTAGAACTTACCTGTCTGCTCTACCCTGCACCCTGCTTGTGCAACTCTCCCCCACTGCAGCAAACAAACCCCAAAGGAACCCAACCAAAAGGTAGAGGCCAAGGTCATCTCAACACCCTTCACCCCACACAGACAGGAAGCTGTCTGTGATTGGTAATTTGCCTAGAATTGCAGAAGATGGGGATGAAGGTAACACACTGTATCATATTCCTGTTATTGGAGGTCAGCTCCCTAGAGATCTCTGATATGATGACAATGGACTGGGACTCAAGAAAAGGGCTTCTGCTCTTCTGGAGAAACTCAGGCCTTCTGCCTGTGATTCCTGGTGGCTCTCCCTCTCCCCACAAAGGCTTACAAGCAATCATTAGTGCACATTCAAAGAGACCTCCATCTGTGGAAGAAAAATTATCTCCATTTATTTCGATTCATATACATTTATAGTTGAATTGTCATACAAAAAGAAAAAAATTAGAATCTGACAAATGTTTACAAACAAGATACCTTCAAATAGATTTTGCTCATTTAGCCTGGTGCAGAGTAAATGACAGGACAGGAAGTATCCCAGCCTTCCTGCAAGCTTCATCTGTGACTATTTGGGGCAGAAGTTCATGTCATTCTATAATTTATATGAAAACATAGGAAAACATAAAGGAACTCAAGTCCCAAAAACCCAACTTGGATGGATGGGAGACAAGTATCCTCCCCCTGCTCCCCCCACCCCTGTGTGTGTGTGTGTCTGTGTGTCTGTGTGTCTGTGTGTCTCTGTATGTATGTTGAAACCAGTGAAACCAGGGGCTTACAATATAATAACCAGCTCAGTACCTGTAACTTTTTGGTTTGTGTTTATGTTTTTTCTGTTTGTTTGGTTTGGTTTGGTTTTGGTTTTGGGACAGGGGCTCATTATTATGTATCTTTAATCCTAAATGCTGGCATTAAAGATGTGTGCAACCTCTCAGCACTTAGGAGGCAGAACCAGGAAGATTTCTGTGAGTTTGAGGCCAGTCTAGTCTACAAAGCTAGTTCCAGGACAGCCAGAGCTGTTACACAGTGAAACCCTGTCTCAAAACAACAACAACCAAAAAATAAGTATACAACCATGCCCTATAATTTTTAAGTTTGATTCCATAAAAACTAAAACAAAAGCACAGATGGTATATTAGGAAAAGATTCTATTTTTTAACATCTAGGACTTCCATATTTTAAAAAAAACACTGTGTAATATTGAGAAGCCAAAAGAACAAGAAAAACACAAATATAGCCAAGGGAAAGAAATGAAGCAAACCTATAATCCTAGCATTTAAAAAGTGGAGGCAGGAGGACCAGGTTGTAGTTAGCTACACAGCAAGTCTGAGGCCAGTTATACTACCAGGCTTGTCTTTGAAAGACAGAGAACTAGACAAATATATTAAGAAAATTTTAAATTCATTAGCTATCAAATAATTAAAACAAGATGGCAGATAGCTATTATTTCCAGTAGACATGTACCCAAAACAGTAAATAATGCCAAACAACAGTGACCCTTCATGTTTGCTTGCTGGAATGTAGACAGCTAGAAAGCCACTCTGCAGAGCAACCTCCTGCCTGGAATGTGGACAGGAACCATTCTAGAAAGCAGTCTCACAGGATTAAACTAACCATGCAGAAAACCCAGCAACTTCGCTCTTGGGTGTATTTCCCAGAAGGAAAGCATCACAATGGTCAATATGAGAAGCCAGAGGAGGCACACTCAGGGAATTTCATCCTGAATAAAGTGTGGCATTAATTCCCTAGCCAATACTACATGTCTATAACTGATATACTACAGCAATACAGCTGGTTTCTAAGAGTAAAATAGTGAATGAAAATAAAAGGCAGACACAATCAACTACCACATTTATGTAATTTCCATCTTGGCAATAGATCACTATATACCATAAACAACCAAACCCCCACACATAGAAATTCTGAGATCTACAATGAAATACATAAATATGTAGGTACATATGAAAGAGTCGACAGAGGCAAGAGAATGAGTAGCAGATACAAACAGATAAAAAGAATTCACATAATAAATGAGTGGGAGTTGAAGACAAAACTCTGCAACTTAGGTCCTTAAAAGCAAAAAGAGCAAGGCATCAAGGCTATTCTTGGCTATATATTGAGTTCAGAGGTCAGCCTTACCTATATGAGACCCTTCCTCAAAACAGACAAGGAAATCAAATTCTGCATCTTCCATATTCCTATTATCCTTAAAGCATAATGTATAATTTATCACTAAGAGAACCTAAGAGGTCTTCCTCCAGGAGCCTTAGTGTAGGCACCCAATGATTATTCTAGTAGGTGGTTATCTTTTACTAGCTCTAATTACCATTATAGCTGAGCATTTCTAATTGCCATCAGAACCTTCTCTTAAAAGTAAATCCCCTTACTGAGAAGGCTCAGTAGACAAGAGCACTTTACTGATGATCTAATAAGTTCAATCTCTACATAACCCATGGTGGGAAGGAAAGAGCAGACCTCCTGAGACCTCCAACATGTACAAACCAGCATACTTGAACCATACGTCCCTCCCTATGCACCTGTTGGAAGGGTTCACTCTGGGACTTGACACTTGCAAGACAAGCATTCCACCACTGAGTACAGCCACAGCTCAGGACACAGCCAGCTTTCAGGCTCAACCTTTAAAGCTCAAGACTTCTAGTTCTTCATTAAAAACAGTGTTAAGACCTGACTGCACGATAGGAGATAGAACAGAGAGCAACAACAACAAACGATGGACCCCAGTGGGTAAGAGTTTTCAGGATATTAAATATGGTTGAAATACCAACACGTAGGTGAGGAAAGTAGAAACTTACCTACCGTCACTTCTAAGCCACAGATAAGGAGGTAAGGGGCCTAGAACTTGGGTGTTCAACCATGGATGAATGTGGAGGTGGGGGACAGGGCCAGATGCCAATATTCAACCATTTTCTTTGATTTTTCTGCAAAGAGATCACTCACTGTTCAACCTATTCTAAATTTTCAGGCTTTCTGCTGACAGCCATAACTATACTCAAAAGAAGAAATTATTCTTCTCTTTAAGTAAGAAGGAGGAAACCTAAAACCCTAAAAAAAAAAAAAAATGTCATTCAAGTTACTATGCCACACCCCTATAAAAAAATGAGATCTTATTTTATAGCAACAGCTATGTACTGTTAGGAACTAGTTTCAATAACAATTCTACCAGCCCCATTTGTCAGATATCCACCCTCCTCCCAGGGCTACACACTATGTCATACCATACTCACTGTTCTGTCTTCAAGTAAACAAACAGGGTCTCATGTAAGTCGGATTGGCCTTTAACTCATTATGTAGCACAGTATATATAGCCTTAAACTTCAGATCCTACTTCCACCCCTGTTAGGGGTTAGGAATTAATTAAACCAGGGTTTCCTGCCTACTGGACAAGCACAACCCCATGTCCTTATTACTAATTCTCTCGTTTCTACGTCTTACCACACACCTCCCACGTGTTACAGGAATTTCTGCCCAAATGTTTAAGGCACACAGAACTAAAATTATACTCCCTCTGTGTCTTTTCTCATTGTGGAAGCCGGTGCCACCAACATCAGAATCATTTGTGATTACTATTCCACCTCCCATCTCTACCCCTGGTACCCCACGGTCAAGCTAACACTCGAGTCTGCAGAAGAGCAGAAAAAGAAACTAAAACACCACGTGGTTCAACAGACTAGGCTGTCTTACCGTCCCCCTAGCATCTTAACTTTTCTCGGGTAGACAGCGATCGGAAAATATTTACTGAATACGGGTGTTACATCATACATTACTTCCCCCAGGCCCCACTGCAACCTAACGCGCTAAAGGCAGAGCTCGCCGCTCCGGAACCGAGCTCGTGCAACTTGGAAAAAAGACCCATCAAGAACCCCGGTCCCCCGAGCTCCGGGCTGCGTCTCCGAAGAAGCACCTGAGGAGCTGAGGCACCGACCTGGGAACCGCTCGACCTGGGCGGAGTCGTTACCGAGTGGCGACAACACAGGCGACACGCCGCCGAGCTTCCTCCTCAAGCGGAGCAGGCGTGATCTCCAAAGAATTCGACCTCGGGCGGCTACAGCCAGTGCTTACTGGCCTGAAGAACTGAGGGACGAGATCCAGGAGCATGAAGCTCCAGAACAGACACGCGGAACTTCCGAGTGCGCGCCCCGGGCACGCGCTTCGTATACTGAACTCTCATGCACAGAACTCCCGGTCAACACGCTGGGGACCACAAGGAAAACTAAAGGGAAGGACGACGTGGGCCACACGCTGCCACCGAACTCAGCCAACAGCGCCGTTAGCTCTCGGCTCAATCTAGCCTCCCGCGGGAGGGCCCGCCCCCTCCTCGGCATGTGATTGGTCCTTACCAGCTCCTCGCCGTGTCGTATAGGCTGTTGGTCGCAACCAATTGCCGGAGGCTTAGCTTATGGGAGATGTAGTCCTGCATACTGGGTTCCTAGGGAAACCTGAGCATCACTTCTCTGGGTTCCGGAAGTGCCTTGAAAAGGTAGCTCCAAGTTCTTGTGCCAGTATCCATGCTGTGGTTTTGGCCTGCACCAGTGGTACAATATCAAGGACCAGGAACTGTAAGGATGGAAAAATACAACCTAACTCTCCAATGACCCCAGAAGCTAGAAGTTTAAAAATACTAAATACCTTAAATTCCAGACCCTGTCCTCAGCCAGTAAATAGGCGAAAGGTCACACTCCTTGCAACTTATCTGACTTTGTAAACTGCTTGTGAAACATTGCCCCAGTGACCTAACCTAACTGCCTAACTGCCATTTGTCACCCCACCTAGGAGCCCCCCCCCACAAATGCAGACCCCCGGGGCTATAGAAAACTGATTGGTCTATAAAGCACAGGCTTGGATGGTTTAAAATGATTGGTCTAAAAACCATAAAATGGTTTAAAGTGATTGTCTTGCACCAAGCAGGCTCTTGATGCTATGAGATGATTGGTTTACCATGTGTGGGCTTTGTTGTAAACCCTATAAAAGCTGTCTCAATTCTGTACTTGGGGTCCTCAGTCCCATGGACCCTGTGCACTTGGAATAAACAAGTCCTCTTGAATTTTGCATCAAGACCACTTCTCGTGAGTGATTTGGAGTGTCGCCTTTCCTGAGTCAGAGCGTGAAGGTCCACGCTCTGCGGGTCTTTCAGAACCTGAAATCAGAAAATTAATTAGAGCTTAGTTTTGCTGACAGCAAATATCTTGTCTCCTTCATCCATAAGAAAGAAATACTAGAACTGAAGTGACTATTAGCTAAAGGGAATAATGTGGGTAGCGATAAAGAAGGATATAAGATGTTATCCTTTGAAATCTGTAAGCCTGAGGATCAAACATCTCAGCACACAGACACACACACCAAGTAGCTAGGTCTTAAAGAAAGGGTATGTTCATTTTAGTCAATAAATAAATAAATAAAACACAGTGTGTTTGTTTGTTTGTTTGTTTGTTTGTTTGTTTTTCAAGACAGGGTTTCTCTGTGGCTTTGGAGGCTGTCCCAAAACTAGTGCTGTAGACCAGGCTGGCCTCAAACTCACAGAGATTCACCTGCCTCTGCCTCTGCCTCCCAAGTGCTGGAATTAAAGTTATGTGCCACCAATGCCTGGATCAAACTACTTTTTAAAATTGTTAATAAGCTACTTGACTGAAAATCATATTTTTTCAGTCAGCACTCCTTAAAACATGTGCTCAAGGTTACACTCTATGCTCAAAATTGCATTCTACTTAATCACTAAGTAGCTTTAAATTAACCAGGCTCACAAGAATGTAAAGCTACTCTGTGTTAGGAATAAAAACCCAGTAGACACCAGATATGCTTGCTTTCTTAAATGCAGCTACACATGGGCTGGAGAGATGGCTCAGAGGTTAAGAGCACTAGCTGTTCTTCCAGAGGTCCTGAGTTCCATTCCCAGCAACCACATGGTGGCTCACAACCATCTATAATAAGATCTGGTGCCCTCTAGAAAACTGTGTACAAAATAAATAAATTTAAATAAAAAAATAAGTGTAGCTAGGCACACTTCTACAGAAACAAAACTTTTTCCTTGCTAAAATACTTCAGATTCTGTGGTAACACTGTAGAGGTCTCAGACCTGTTTTTTTATACCTTATTAAAGGTGGCCATACTTGGAAGGGATTATATGCAGTAGACAGGAAAGAATGAGACAGATGGCCTGAAATAATAGAAGATTTTGTTAGGAGTATAAAGACTAATTCCTCAATTACCACTTATCACTCTAAGTTTGTTGATAAGTTTCTAGCTAATAAAAAAAAAGTCATAAATCAAGATGCTTCACTCCAAGGCATGGTTGAGAAGGTTTTATTGTAAATATGAGGGAGAATTCAGCCAGAGGCATCTGAAAGAGTCTGTATTGAACCAAGCCATGAGAGGAGGAGGGGAGAGGAAGAGAAGAGAAGCAAGAGAGAAGCCAAGAGTGGAGGACTAAGAGAACTCCTGGCCAAAATGGCAGGTTTATATAGGAATGAAAAGCCAGAGGAAGGGAAGCAAAGACTTTGGGCTGGAGAAGTTAGGTGGTATCATGGTAAAAAAAACTGCTGGGAGGAGCCACAGGTACTGAGTGAGCCTTGTTCTGGGTTTCTTTGGAATCTGACAATTTACAAATACATGGGTAGAAATGTCAGAGAGGAGGATTACAGCAAGGTAAGATAACCTCTACTATTAGCATCATGTTAAACCTGGAAATCGCAAAGAGAAAGACGGAATTCATAGCAATGGAACGTCTTAACTGCAAATAGAAACCTTAACCTGCAAGGTATATTGTTCCTGTTTTGGTATCCCATTCCCCACTTGCGTTGTATACTTCATCAAATCCTTGTATTGGATATTCTGTGTTGCATGGGTCAATTGAAGAAAGAGGGTCACTCCAGGATGTATTTTAAGCTCTCTGGCAGCAGGGAGTTTCTGTGAATTGAAGTCCAAACAGGAGTGTGAGCCTTATTTGTTGATTGTTACACAAAAGCGTTTTGGGTAAAACAAGTTCCACATGCCAAATCCCCTGATCCAATCTATATGTTTTTCTGAAGGAACATATCACATCTTTGCCACTTTAGCCCTTATTGTGTATTGTTTACCAAATAGTTCAAGACAGTCCAGGTATGCCAGGATAGCCTCGTGACAAAAGTCATACAAAGGCTGTGAAGCTCCTTCAGAGAAAACAACTCTATAAATAACAGAAAAAAGTCACTATTTTCCACAACAATTTCTTCAAGATCAAAGGACTTTTAGAAAGCAACTATTCATTCTGGTTTACCCAAGATACATTGAAAACAGCTAATTCATTCTAATGTTTACCCTAGAGACAATGACTCCGCTAGAGTTTCACCACATCCTTGACTCTATAGTGGTCATCTGGTTATATTGGGATCTAATAACTATCGACTTACTGGTATCTAGATGGAAATTCATGTATCTAATTAAAGCATTAATGATATAAGGGCCAACAGTAATTAGAAGAAACAGAAGGGTCAAAGGTCCTGTGATGGCTGACATATATTATTACCTACGAGGAGTCTAAAAATGAGAATGGGTACCAGTCATTTATTTCATCTTTCATCATAGGTCTCCTTTTTTTCTTTGAGTACAACCAGATTCTCTCTAATGGTTTCCTGCCTTTGACCCACCAGCAAGCCCTGGGTACCCGGGCAACCACACATCTCTCAGGCTCAGAGCCCTTCTTAGCCCCTGTTCCTACATGATGTGTAGTGATACAGCATGTGCCCACTCACCCCATGGCCCCTAGACCTTGCAGTGACAACCCAAGGCTTGCCTAAGCCATTATCATTTTGATCCTTGTTTAATTTCTGGGATACTAGAAATTCTAAGTGATTGGATCTCATTTTTACCTCATTCATGAAAAATGTGCCTTTGTCCCAATATTCCCTCAGATATCAGTCAAATAGACGCTTAATGACACTCCATATCCTGATATTTCACAGGACCTTCGCTGCTTCTGCCAGTGATCCAATAGATGGAAAGAGACTTCCCTTTTCCCTACATTCATGCTTTCAATTTTCTCTGGCCCAAGCTCCCTGTTCTCTTTGCCTGTCTTTGTCTGTCTGCCTCTTGTTCCTGGCACACGGTCTAGCCACACTGAGGTTTTTACTCTGCCCTTCTCTGCCGTCTCCTGCCACCTCCAGCCATGGCCAAGACTTAGCCTATCTCCTTGTTATGTCTGTTCTTTTTTTCCACTCCCTTTCCCCCTCCCACCTGCTGCCACCATCACAGCCGTGCTGTTGCCTAGGGGCTTCCTCTTTCCCACTTGACTGTGCAGCTGATCTGTTTCCCAGTTTCCCTTACACACACCTTCTCTTGTGCTCTGGGTAGAGACAGCCACACAGATGTCTGTAGAGGCCTTGCATGCAGCCCCGCTTACAGCAGGATGGCCCTGTTACGTTGGAAGCTTCACCCCAGACCCTGCCATCCATATACCCAGAGAGTCTGGGATGTTATGGTGGAAGTTCCACCCAAACTCCCTTCCCGCATCTCCTTCCGAACCCTGCTTCATCTCAGAAAGCCCGACAAATGATGACCCCTCCCCCAGATATGCTCAAGACCACTCCCTTAAGGTATTTAAACTGACCCCCCAGAAAACAGATTCGTGTTTTTTTCCCCAATCTCCCTTTCCCATCTCCTCTCTGGGAGACTACAAGGCCATCCAGGAGCATTCTAATTTGGTTTTATTTGGTCTGATTTGGATTATTGCGGAGAGGCTTATTGGAGTGTAGGATTTTTCAGGCCCAATATAAGCAGTATCTGGAACCACTACCTCTGACACCCTTGCAAGGAAATGTCTTTCATTCTTATGCTTTAAACTCTTATTTTAGGATTTTTAAGTTGGTCATCTGGCACGGTTTTCCAGAAAGAGGTTTTGCTCCCTGTCTATTTCATATGTATGAAAAAAGATATGTGGCCACACCCACGTGCT